GGATGCCATGTGGTGCTCTGTGTCAGCACCTCTGCTCCCACCTCCATTTGTCCAGCTGAGCTTTGTCCTGTCTTGTCTGGTGTCACTGATGTGCTGTTCTTGTGCTGCACAGGCTGAGAGGATCATGGAAGCTATTGAGCTGTACAGAGAAGAGACTGCAAAACTAAAGGAGCACAATGCCATATGCAAAGCTGCAGGAAAAGAGGTAAAAGACTGAGGGATGTAAAAATCCCAGGGTGTGTTGGGTGTATCCTTCCAGCTCAGGTGGAAAGGCTTAGCATGCAGATAAAGTGAGGACAGCTGAAAACAACAGACATTTGCTCAAATCTTTTGGAGAACTAAATGGCACCATGCTCTGGGGCATAATTAGGGGTTCTCTCCAGTGATCTTTATGCCTAAAGTCATAGCAGTCTAAAACATAAGTTTTGTCCCTGGAGAGTGTGCTGCTGCAGGTTCATCCTCAAGCCTCAACTTTACCTTCATCTCAACACTCCTTGCTGAATAAGGGGCTGTCATAGAAATGGGAAAAGTGACAAGAAGTGGAAGGAAATTCATCCATGTTAGTCATATATGTCTGATGGCTTCACATGAGGCCTTCAGAAACATTTTGGGGAGGGTGAAGGTGTGGGAATTGCAGGAAGACACTCAGTAAAAACTCTCTTCTACTGTGGGTAAAAGTTTGCTCTGAATATGCATTTATATTCACACACCTGCCTCATTCTAACCCATTCTGTGTCTCCAGGTTCCCTTCCCTGTCAATCCCATTCTCCGTGCCTATGGAAATATTACAGTAAGTGGAATGCCCAGGCCACAGGCTGTGCTCCATTCTCAGCTGGAGTGGGGCTGCTTGATTTGCTGGCTGAACCAACATGGTGGGTTGCTGTGGGGCAGGACTGCTTAGTTCAACTTTTATTGCTTGTGCAAAGTGAACATAATTTAGGGTTTTCATGTTGATTTTTTTAGGTTTTTGTTTGTTTGTTTGGATTTTTTTTGTTATTCTTTAGTATCATGCATGTGGATTACAACGGTTTAACCCTGTCAGGGTTAAACAACCCTGATGTTGTAAACAACCCTGTAAACCCATGACTTTATGATGTTCCTTGTCATGAGCCAGGGCTTTACAGTCTCCTCCAAGATACAGGAAAGCTAGTTCAAACCTTTCCCAGGTTTATTTATGTGGTGTTGCTACAATTACTGTTTCTGTTTCTATTCCTGCTGAGTTGACATTGAGAAAATTCTGAATCGAAGTTCAGTGCCCTTATATTGCAGGCTAGAGCTGGTGCCCTTATTCGTTCATGTCATTCTACTACTCAACAATTTTCACTAAATTCTGTGGATTTTTGACGTATTACAAAATACACAGACAGGGATGCATGGATTTAATTGATAAGTAAAAATCCACTACTTTGAGTAGATTAGTTTTTGTTTTTCTGGTTTATTCCAATGTGCACTCCCAAACTGTTTTTGAAGTACTTTTAGGAAGATCCTTGTTTTTTTCTCTCTCCCCTTTTCATGCAATCATACAGTGGTTTGGGTTGGATGGGACCTTCAAGATCATCTGGTTCCAACCCCTCTGCTCTGGGCAGGGACACCTCCCACTAGACCAGATTGCTCAGAGCTGAATGTCAGTGCCAGGTGCAACAGCCTTTGTCTTCCTTCTAATTACCTGTAACCACCTTGCAAGAGCCCTTCTGTCCCTTCCTCCATGATTATAGGTCTATTTAATTATAAGTTGGATAGACTTAACAGAAGGGAATGAAATCCTATGATTTAGTAGTTAGAGGCACTTTTCTTTCCCAATTCCCAGCTCTGCTCTGGAAATCTTATCCCATCTGCCAAACGCTTCCAGCAGATAAACAGGAGTAGTAGGAATTAAGCCTGAGAGATGAGTTTGTATAAAGTTTTTATATACAATTTAACAAGCTTTTTGTCCAATTTGTACAAGATTCTTTGACATAAATTGAGATGACTTAGCTGATTAAATATAAATTAGATTTTTCACAATATTCTTCACCAGTGTAGAGTGTCCTGAGAAAGCTGAGGGAGAACTTCTCAGTGGCAGCTGATTGAAGCTGAAAGGGTTTCCTCTTTGTTGTATTCAGCTTGATGTGTCTGTCTCACAAGATGAGATGGTGTGTTTTTAACTGTGTGAAGTGGACTTTAGGGCATGTTGGTCCTGGAATGTTTCTTATTAAGCAGGGCTGTTGTCTTTTCTCTGTTGCAGCCTTCTGCCTATGTGCTGGAAGTTTTCAAGAAGGTCAAGTCGAGGTGAGTCCCAGGAGCTTCATTGCTGAACACATTTGTGACTCAGTGTTGGGTTTCTAGGCCCAGGACTGGCTGGGCTCCTTGAGTGGTCTCATGCAAGGAATGGGCAGTGCTAGAGAGTCTGGAGTTGACTGTTTCCAGCAGACTCTTCTGGAACATGCATGGAACTGGAGAATGGGAAGTGTGGGCTGAAGCTTCTGGATGTGGGTTGGCTGCTTGGAGCTGTGCATGTATGTGGGGAGCAGTTTGGGGATGCTGAGGAGAGAAGGCTGTGTGCCTGCTCCCTGTGCCACAAGATGCCTGGGCTGTGCAGATGCAGGACATCTGGTGCAGATGTGGGCACTCATGGAGCAGCTGTGAGAAATGCTTAGCCTAGCTGAGTACCAAAACCCACCTATGTGGGTGTGTTTCCTGCTCATCTGTGGCAGTGTACTGGCTGAGAGTAATTCTTGTGTCCCTTTGCTTTTTCCCTCAGTGAGCTGGAAGAGTCTCTCCTGGTGCTGCCTTTCTCCTATGTCCCTGACCTGCTCAGACTTTTCAATGAATATATTCAGCAGGGCTCAGATGTTGAGCTTCTGTGCCGAGCTCTCCTCTTCCTGCTCAAGTGAGTCCTTTATCTGCCCAGACTGTATCTGGGCTTTCTTCTGAGTCTCTGGGCCTGAAACTCTTGGGAAGCATCCTTAGGAATAAACACATGGTATCTGTAGGAGATGAGGAATCTCTGCAGCCCACAGTGAATGGTGTGTGGGAATGAACTGCTTGGGTGCAGAGTGCTGACATGCCTGGATGGGGATGCTGGTCCTGGTGGCCCAGTTCTCACTGGGATGAGAAGATCCCACATGAAGCCTGATGAGGCACTGTTGGTGGCACAGAGTCACTCTAGAGCCTGTGTTCTCAGAAAGACCTTCCCCCTGAACCACTGTTAAACTTGAGAAAACAGCTTTTCCAGATGAATTTGTCCATGCCTGTCCATGTCCAGTGTCTGGGGAAGATTGATTAAAAAAACCCTGTATGTCCAGAACATACAGAGGCTCAGGAGAGGGCCTTTGTGATGTTTCTAATAACAATACTGCAATACACTGTCTGCTTTGTTCCCAGGATACATTTTGGGCAGATCACAAGCAACCAGATGCTGGTGGCAGTGATAGAAAATCTGAAGAAAACCACCATCTCCAGAGTCAGTGAGGCCCGGGTGAGTGTTGCACCCTCCCTTTTTCCAGAATGTAGAATAATGGGATGAGCCAATGTTTGTGAGCATGAGTTGTCTGTGGTGTCCAGTGGGGAAGTTGGTTGGGGATCTGAGCTCATTTAAACCATCCTCTTTTGCAAATAAGCTGCCTTTTCCTTATGTTCCTCCTCATGTGAGGGTACTCCAGTGGTGAGCTTATACTTGTGCTCCCTGCCTCATTTGCACTTGGTTTCCTGATACGTGTGCTTGGATCTTGGCTCACTAGTTTCTAAATATGTGGGAGGTAAAGTAACTCCCTGCTTCTCTTGGGCTTTTCTGTGGGCTGCTGCCTCAATGCAGACTCTGCATTTTCCTAGAGGAAGCTTCAGAACCTGCCAGCAACTTGTCTTCAGAAAATGTGGTGGATTATGGGTGCTTTTAAGAGAGGACTGTGGGGAACTGAGTGCAGAACCAGCTGCTCTCCTGGTCAGATGAAGTTCACATTTAAACTAATGTTGCTTTCTTTAAATCTGTGGATTATCTTCTTTTCATAATCTCTTAGTAGAGGGTGGCCAGTGCAGGACTCTCTGCACCCTAGCTAGCTTGGGATGTGCCTCACAGTGTGGTGCTGGTCTGTCTCTGCAGGATGTGCTGGGATTCAACATGGCAGGGCTCCAGTTCCTGAAGAGGGAGATTGAGGCCAAGGAGGAGGTGACATTTTTTGCTGATGCTACTGAACGTTTTGAGGAGAAGAAAAGAAAAAGGAAGAAGAAAGAAAAGATGGTTCTTGCAATGCTCTAGCATTTGCTGCCCAAGACCTGGAGCACCTGGATGGACTCATGTAACCTCACTGCTCACCATGGAAGTGTTCTTGTGGCTGAACATCTGTGATGATGTCCCCTGGCTGGGACAAAGTCTGTCCCCTCCACACGTGGTGTAACCCAGCATGTAAACCCAACTCAGAATGGTTGTCTGTGAGATGGACTCTCTCCAGTCTGCTGCAGATGGATGCCTTTGGACTCTTTCTGAGGCGGCTGTCAAAGGCATGTGTTCTTCCTCTAGTGGAATGCCTGTTAGAGATGGAGTTGATTTATTCTGGGATCAGCTCATTCTGGCAGTGTTGATTCGATGAAATCCAGCACAGGACTGCTGGTGAGACCATGGCTTTATCCAGGATTAAAAGTCTTTGGCAAGACTTTTCACTGACACCTGCTGGTGGCTTGTGGCCTGTGGGAAAAGCTCTGTGGTTTCTGCTGAAGTGTGAGGACTTGAGGTACTGCTACTCACTCTTTAGTGGGACAGGGACAAACATGGCTGCATTCTATTAAAGGCATATTTATATTTGCTTTGTGAGACAATTTTGTTCATAGTCTTTTGTCCTGGTATTTCCTTTGTAAATCCTCAGTTGCTTTGGCCTGTGTGTCTGTTTTCAAAGGATTTTTTACAGAGAATAAAATCAGTGGGAGCAAATGAAAGGCTTGCCATCCCAGATTGTGTTTTTCTGGAGAGCTGGCAGACAAGTGAGAAGCCTGGATTGTTTGCCTTTTACTTGCTCCAGGCTTTAGAAATTGCACTGATTGGTTGCAATGTTGTACTTGTCCTGTGTCAGATAAAATGATTTATTTTCACAGTGTGGGTAGTGGGGCAGAATGAAGTGAACAAGTCTCTGCTGCTGTTGTTATTAATTTATAGCACATGCTGTGTTTTTTTACCAATTGCCAAGTCTCACTGGTTTGGGGGATGTGGTGGGGGCTGCTTCCAGATACTTTGCTGAGTGTCGGGCTCACATGTCTGACTTGGGTACTCAAAGCTGAACTTCTAACTTGAGTTTCATGTGGATTTTTAGTTGCATCCCAGTTGTGGCTGACTGCTGTCTTTGTCTCAGGTTGTCTATTACTAGCAATTATGCAAAAGGCCAGCAGTTCAGCTGGTCATTCTCCAGGCAGCACCTCAGGTGTAACAACCATACCTTGGCTGTTCATAAGTGACTTTGTCAGGGGATGATTGTTCACTTGCCTCTTCAGAGTCTGGGTGATTCACAGGAGCACGTGCTCCATTTCCAGGTGGTTCTCAGACTCTGTAAAAATGGCAGTCTTCATACAGCTCTGCCAGTTGTTTCACTTGAATCACAAGTTTCATCCATATCTGGACAAATATGAAATTAGAATTATAGAGGCATCTGGAAACAGCTGCATTCAGACGTCTCTCTATCCTGACTTAGGCTGTTCTATTTCATTTTATTCTGTTCTTTTCTTTTGCTACTCCCAAAAAAGACCCTCCTAAGAGGGATTACTTGGAGGAAGAGGAGGCACTGTAGGATGATAGATTTTGTTGGTAAAGTCAGTGTACATCTGTTATCCACATTATCTGCTGCTGAAATGGGCCAGCCCGCTGGAAAAACAAGTGTTACAGATGGAGAGCTGGCTTGTGACACCACAGTGCACCCTCAGCTGAGGTGACTGAGGACAGAGAGGCCAAAACTGGGCACCAAAAGGGGAAGGCTGGCTGTGCCTCTGTTTACCTTAATGTCAGGGAAACAGATGTTATGGATGCTGTATTATGAACTGCTGTTTGATGATCCCCTAGGAGGCCTGGAAGAAAAATTCGTGGCTATGGGCACGTGAACTCAGGGACTGATGGAAAGTATGTAAATGGTGATACAGAAGAGTAGCTTGGGATGCAGAGTCATCTTATAATGATTCAGATATCCTCTGATCTGAGTTGGAAGAGGTGGAATTCCTACACTTTTGTCTCTGCTGTCACTGGTGTTAGGGAAGAATCCTTGGAGAAAACATCTTTTAGGTGTTGAAAAGTTGTCTCTCCCTAGCTGCTGACACAGGCTGCCTTCTTGAAGTTTCCCTCTGGTTCTCTGATTTTCATCACTTGTGGTGGGTCTGTACTAATGCAGTACTTGGGTGGCTACTGACAGAGGCCAGCATGTGCTTTAAATGGAAGAGGTCTGTCCTGTGCCAACAGTCCTCTGATAGGAATTCTAATATCCTTAGGACATCAATTTGCCCTTTCTTGGGTGAAATTCCCTAGATTTACAAACCTGAGCAGGAAAGCACTTTCAAGTACAGGGCAAGCATAAATCTCTATTATTAGAATACATATCTCACTTAACAGTGTGGATGTGATGGTTCAGAACTGGCATTCATGTTTCACACTGGTGAAAGCTGCTGTTAATGGCCAATCATGGGATTCTCAGTCACTGTGAAGTGTTGTGACAACAAATCATCTGCATGTATCAAGGAAAATTCCCCATCTCTCTCTCAGCATGTCACATGTTGGAAAAAGGATGAAGCACAGGAAAGGACCTTGTGAGAAATGAATTCATAAACCAGAAACAGAGCTGCACTTGGACACACAAATGTGGTGCCTCAGACATAGCCTGTGACCTTTCTTTTAGCAATTGCTGTGTAGGTGGGATCAAGGAGGGGCAAAAGACCATCTCTAAGTGGCTCAATCTCTCACTGTGAAGAGAGATGAGCATGTGAACATTTGAAGGTGCTCATGTGTCACTGTGAACAAGAGGGTGTAAGGGTCCCTTGTTGTCAAGTGCAACTTTGTGTACTCACACCACCCATCTGGTATGTGCAGCTTATTAAAGGTAGGTGAGCACACAGAAAGGCAAGCCTATGATTGTGAAAGCAAACAGAAACTTAGGAATTAGAAGACCAGAGCAGGTCACCAGCTCCTGAAGAATCACAGTTGACTGTGTTGAAACCTGCTGCATTCCCAGTACTTGAAAAAGATTTCAGGTGCATCAGCAGGGGTTATTAGAAACCTAATCCCTTTTAAAAACAAACTTTGTGGGAACCATGCAGCACTGCTCTGTAGTAGGGTTGAAATACAGCAGTCTTTCCATTGTTTACATTTCACACAGCCACGTCATGAGATTGTGCAACTTTTGGACTACCTTTCTCATTAACAGGGAAAAGGCAATATATTTATTCTCATTTAATCTGATTAAACAAATGGAAAAACTACACTGGATGTTTCCATAAGGTTGAACTAAAATCTAGGTATTTCAGTGTTGCTTATCCTCATGTTGATCTTCTTGGGCTCTTAACCTGTAGTGAAGAAGACAGAAAATTAACATGAATGGAAGGAAGAAAAAATAAGAAGAAATCCCAGCTCCACCTCTGTACAGTTGTTGAACCAAAACTAATAATTATGTCCAGATTCTCTGCAAGTGTTTTGTGATTGCTACAGACTGGCTTCAGATTTGGCCTTTTGCTGTTGGAAGGGAACAAATAACATGAGATGGAGTTCTTACACAGGCTTCAAGTAGATTAGGGGCTTGCTTTTATTGCACAAATTGAATGGTACAAAAATCACAACCACACATTCAGGATGGACAGTCTGCTTAGGAATACTAAAGACTTTAATGGGCAGCTTCCTGTGTGGTATTTAATTCTGAGCATGTTAAAAGAATATTTTTGAAATGTTTCAAATATTGTTGTGAAATAACTAAGGAAATTAATGAGATAGGGCTAAGTTTGGTCAGGTGATGCTTGATCAGTGATTTTTGCTTTTTGGTGTCTGCTAGGTGTGGCAAATTTGTGATCAAGTTTAATATTGCAGAGAGGTTCCTAGGTCTCAGTAGAGAGAATCACTGGCTCTGGTGATAACCACCTGGGAAAGGTGATGGAAACTTAGAAAGTTCTCAGGGTGCCTCTGCAGTGACTCAACTGTTTCTGTTCTGGATGGCTGAACAAGACTATTCAACCAATATTTAACCTGGATTTAACCCAGGAGTGTTGGTGTTCTGTGTTTTGTGAGACTAAACCAATCAATCAAGAGCTCCTTGGTATGTCTGAGAGGGATATGGTTTTGAGTCCAGGAGACTTTGAGGGGAGGAATGTTCAAAGAGGCATTGGGCACAGTTGTTTGGGTAGCGTGGGATGGCTGCAGCCAGCTTCAGTAGGAATTGTCAATCAATTCACAAAAGGACACTGTCAGAAGAAAAGGGAGGTTTGGCTGTGGTAGCAGCAGCTTTGATTAGCTGGATTAGACATGTGAGAGGAGAATACTGTGCAATTAATTTCTCTCCCTCTGTGCTTTGTCATGGGAGATGGCCTTGATCAGAACTTCTCTTGGGACTGGGGGTGTCTCACTAAAATGTGAACTGACTGGGTGAGGATTTCTCTTAGGTTTCAACATGGAGTGAGAGAAGTTTGTCTAAACTCCCTTCATGATGAGCTGCAGGTGGTAAATCCCTAAGGTGGAAGGCATTAAACTAGCTGTTTTTCTAGACTATAATTGTGTGTTACTTTGGGGATAGAATTCCACACAGGAAAAGGTAAGAAGATATTTAAACAGAAAAAAAAGCTATACTTGATGTGTACTGGGCAGTCCTAGAGCAGATGCAGCAGTCAGAGGTACATGTCTGTGAAGTTTTTGAGAACTGACTGATGTGGTCACTTTTCTTTTTCTCCAGAGGAGAGGAATGAGATACAGCTGGAATTTCTTTGCTGATTGGTTGGACAACAAAGCAGGCTTACAGATGTTTGTGTTGAAAGAAAAAGATGATGTCAGTGTTACACATATGAAGCAAACAAGGACTGTTCAGCTGAGGAGAGGCATCCATAGAGTTCCCTGTTTATCAGCTGTCACCATCAATTGTGTTGCAAAACCTGAGCTCATGGGGGTGAGGTGAACACCAGCCTAATGTTAAACATGTTGACTGCTGCTTTGTGAAAAATTCCCAGTAAGGCTTTCTTGTTGTCTGGGAAGACTTAACCCTTCTAAGACACTCTTATAAAGCACCCAAAGGAGAGCTACAAAGATGGTGAAGGGCCTTGAGGGGAAGTGTGAGAAGTGGCTGAGGGCACTTGGTCTGTTCAGCCTGCAGGAGACAGAGGAGAGAGCTCATTGCAGTCTGCAACATCCTCACAAGGGGAAGAGGAGGGGCAAGCACTGATCTCTCGGTGACCAGTGACAGGACCCAAGGCAATGGCCTGAAGTTGTGTCAGGGAAGAGTGAGTTAGGATATCAGGAGAAGGTTCTTCACCCAGAGGGTGGTTGGGCACTGGAACAGGCTCCCCAGGAAAGTGATCAGAGCACCAAGCCTGACAGGGCTCAAGAAGTGTTTGGACAATGCTCTCAGACACATGATGTGACTCTCAGGATGTCCCGTGCAGAGCTGGACCTGATCTCTGTGAGTCCCTTCCAACTCAGGATATTCTGTGATTCTTCTTGTAGACTGAATCTGTAAGGCTACAGAAATGTGCTGTATAAAACTGTGTGTGCAGAGTTGTGTGTATTTGCACTTGTCACATTGAGGCTGCCCTATCTGTAAGACTCCTGTCCCTTATTAGACTTGCCGTGTGTCAATGGGTCACCAGTAAGACTTGGTTACAGATAGTGAAATATGTTAAAGAGAGGCTGATTTATTAGGGTTTAACTGTAATAAATCCAGCTGCCAGGAAGTTCAAGGATTTATTTAATGTGGAGACAGTAAGTGAAGGATTTGGGACAGGACTGAGGAGGCTTTGCTGTGAGTGCTTCTGCTGAGCTGAGCAGTTGTAACAACCTGCAGTCCCCTTGTAGCGAGTGCTTTGGTTAACGTCATCCAGTGTTTCCCTTCTCTTGTCACAGTAACCAAGTCAGTGTGCATCATTTGCATGAGCTTTGTTCAGGATGCTGCTGCTTAAGTGCAGAATAGGTAAAACAAGTGTACTTTAATTTACAGCTGGTGTCACTGCATCCAGTGCTTACACTAACTATAAAGCTTTCGTGGAAGTGTAATCCGAAACCGTGGCCTGGGGCTTGGAGGAACTTCCTGGACTCCTGCTGCCATCCCTCCCTGGGGGAATCCTTCGGGGCGACGCTGATAAATGTCACTGGCTAGAACAGGTGGAATATCACGTTAAGGATCTAACCATTTTGGTATGTTTATTTAAGTAAAATAACCTGTGGAGGTAGGAATGAATTCTGGAACTAAGGTTGTGAAACATCTTGAATCTGGACTAGTGTCCTCAGCTCAAAGGTTAAAGGATCAGCTAAAATATGGGGGAAGGGCACATGTTTTGGAGGCTGGTCTGCAACTGTGTCTGAGGACTGGGTGAGTGGGAACAGAACAGCAGCTGCTTTTGCTGCTATGCCACTGGTGCTGTCTAGATCTGCAATTATAGGTACGAAAGGTTTCTTTGGGTCAATGCAAGTAAATTTGCGGAGTTTCAATGTCACATCTAGAGCATATAAAGCCTCAGAGGAGTTGCTGTTACCCTGGTCAGGTTTAGAGTATCCTGAAGTTCTCCTTTCTTTGGTAAGGGTGGTCCTTACTCTGAATGAACATTTCTGGCATGTTTGGATGTAGCTTGCCTTGCTATTTCTTTTATAGGTTTCCAGAGGACCACTTCTCCCAGACTTCTAAGTGTAAATTTGATTAAATGTCAAACAGAACTTCACCTGAAGCACAAGGGAAATAGAAATAATAGCTACTGACTTGGCTCTTTTACTGTACTGCTGTCATGAGTTAAACAATTGAAAAGCCCACTGAACCCACACAGGTTCATTTCTGGCAGCATTCATGCAATTCTGTGCTTGCATCTTTGCTGCTGCAGGGATTGTCGCATTTGCCTGTTCAGTATCTGGATGATACATCATTTTGTCACTCATGAGGTTTACCACCAGATGCAACCATAGATTCAAAAAGCATAATAAAGTATCTTCATGAGGGGTGGTGGGAAAGAGTTCCTATTATTTTCATTTGGTTTTACAAGCAACATTTTTCCGAGTTGCTCTTCTTCCTTTCCCCACTTTTCAAACCACGTTATTCTGGGGCGTTTGGCATCAGAATCTTAAATTATTCATTTGTTGTGCATTTGAAAACACCCATTTGTGTATTTCTGAAAAGGACAGTAAAGCTTACTACTGCAACAGCCTACACTGGAAACAATGCTTGAGGCTCCCAACAGGAAGATGATCCCCAGGGTCGATGCGATGAGGTGTGTGTGAGAAATAAGACAACAAAGGATATTTGCTTTCACAGGCAGGAGAAGAGTTTCAGTTTCTGTTACTATTTCAATATTATGGGAAACTTCTTCAAGGCCACCAGTGTCTTTCCCTCCAATCAGCATGGCAAAAATCTCTATCTCCAGTTCAGCCTGCAAGCCTGCAGCCACCTGGGAGAGACAGAGAATGACTCACAGGTAAGGTGCAAGTTTCATACATGGTCCCCTTCAGGAGTCCTTGGAGCTGGAGGCTGATGCCCCAAGCATGTCAGTGTTAGAGGCATTTGGACAGTGTCTTTAATGCTATGCTTTAATTTTTGGCTAGCCCTGAAGTGGTCAGTCAGTTGGACTAGAGGGCCATGGTAGGTCCCTTCCAAATGAAATAAAATAAAATATTCTATCTATTCTGAAAAGAACATAAGGTAGGGAGGTACAAAAGGGGCAGATGTGAGGAGAAAAGAAAAGAATGGAAAGTATTCCAGCTATCTAGATGGATTTCTGTAAGGCCTTTGACACAGTCCTCTACACCATCCTTCTTTCTCAATTGGGGCCTTTAAAGATCCCTTCCAACCCACACTATCCAATGATTTCAAGTACTGGGTTGTGGCTAAGGCTCTGGACTAGGAGGTTTGATTTGCATTCTGGCACTGCCTCTGCACAATTCATTGCTTCTTGATTCCATGCATTGGCAAGATATTGCCTGGTATTACATGGATGCCGTGGCCAGCACTATTTATTCAGAGATAGTGTGTAGGTAAAAAGAGAGACTGAACAAAAGTAGAAAGAATGAAAGCTTCCTACTTAGTGAGATAATATGCTATGGTGCTTTGCTAGATAAATAACTTAAGGTGGAGAACAGTTGGAAGCAGGACAAGAAAGGATTGGGGCAATAGTTTACTAGGGTCAAATCCTGAGGGCAGGAAGTTAAGGACAGGAAGTTAAGTCTAGGCATAAGACAGAGCAGATATAACAAACACCCTAAGCAGAAGGCAAAACTCAGAGGCAGTGGTAGAGTAGTCCTGTTTGCTTTGAAAAAACTCTCTATTACTTCACTGCTTGACCTGCTGCTTTCCACTGAACTTAACATTTTTATCACTCTGCATTCAGGCACAGGCCGAGACTCGAGTGCTAGGAACACTTAGCTGAAGGTGGCAGAGGGATGGTGGAAGACAGCATCCCTTCAAGTAACCTTAAACAAAACTGTACCCTGGCAGCTCTATTCCCAGACAGCTGCTGTCCCAGAAAGGTGCCCTAGCTAGCCTGAGGGCCAGCTGGGTCTAGGAAAAAACCCAGAAGCTCTCCTGTGCAACCTACAGGTCCTGGTGTGTACATCACTCTCAGTCCTGTGTATGGAGGAGGCTGCTTCACCCGAAACCTGTCAGAAAGAGAAGAGAATCAGTTTGCCAGAAACTGTTTCAGGCAGGAGAAATCTCATCAAGGCTGCCTGCTCTTCCTCTGCTTTTTAAATGACAGCAGAATTTCTTAGCTCATCCTTTCCATCATAATGTACAAGTTGGACTACAGCAATTCCTGGGCTTCTTGCCAAGGCTCAGGTTTGTAACAAAAAAACCCCAAAGGAGCAGATGAATGGGCCAAAGTAAGCCTCCAAAGAGCTTGTAAACATTGCCCGGTCCTTATAAGAGAAAGTGAAACAGCACCATTTTAAATCTGCACTTCAAAGGTAGCTGAAGTACAAACAGCTTCTTGGCAAACACCTGTGTGTTGCAGACCCAAAAGTTCATAACAATCTTTATTTAATGTCCTTTGATGTGATTCTATTGCAGGAAGCATGATACTGCTATGAATTTTGTGCAAATAATCTTTAATTAAATTGTACCAACTAAAGCAGAAGTTTTGCTTCCTCATTTCTTACTGATTGTTTCACATCTGAGATTCAGTCTTTTTGTGAATGCAACTTCCAACTGCTCAGATTTTTTTTTCAAGATCATTAGATCAGGTATGACCTTTACTTTTGCATTGCTCTGGAACTGATCCTGCAGATTTCATTCCCCCCTTACCAGCATGCCCTTGCACCAGAAGCTGTTAAAGCAAAGGCAGTAGAAGAGGCATTCCTATGATATGGCTCCATCTTATGGAAAGCTCTGGCAGACCTATGAAGTGGCTGTGAGAATTTCTGTGCTTTCTCTGAGTGGTAGGTCCAGAGAAAGTGTACTTAATTTTTGTCAGGATCTATTTGGAGACATAAAAACCAGGGTACTAAGAATTCAAACTAACCTTGAGAAGTTCACACCAACATTCTTCATGATTACAATGGTTGCATAGATGCAGCCTTCCTTTAGCACTCCAAATACCACCCTGGGTGGGATGAGATGGAATTTGGTAAGATCCTGTCTTGTTGCAAGAGAAGATGTGCTGACCTTTCCTGAAGCAGGATCTTCTATCTTTGCAAACAAAATATGAGACAAAGAGAAAGTTGGTGGCCATTAAGTCAGGTAGAGAATTACTTAACCTATATTTAGCCTCTGTTCACTCACCCTGAAGAATTACAAAAATACATCCTAATTGAGTAAAAACTGAAGCAGCACTTCGAATACTGTCTGGAAATTTATCCTTGAGGTGTCTCAGGGAAAATGGGGGAAGATCTGCTCTTTTGGAAACAGAGCTTTCAAGTAAGTGCCTGATGCAGAATGAGTTTTTCCTAGCAGCTGAGAGGAAAGGTACTTCTGGAATTGCCAATAAACATATATAAATTGCAACAGCCATGTTATAGTAAATAGATTCAAAATACCTTCCAGCATTGCTCCAGGGTGAAGATTTTATGGAAAAGAGATGACTCAGATGATATGAATATTGACAAGAAAGATGTTATTTTTTACCTTTTTATTTGGTATGGTGGTTGGTTTTTTCCCCTGAAGGCATGATGGTAATATTACTCTCTCTTTTCTTGTCTGTCCTGTAACATCCACCATCAGACTTGGAACTTTCTGTTGAAAGGCTGTCTCTTCTGCCCCCTCAGTCTTGTCTGGAAGGGAAAGATTTCCAAAAGCATGAAAAAGTGACAGATGGATTGAAATTCATATTGCAAATATTGTGACAGAAGTTATAAAAAGATAGCGAGCTGCTCCAACTACATTCTGGAAGGCAGGTGTACCTCTTGTGCTGCTGGAACCATCATCTTCTTTGGAAGGATACTGCAGGGGAAGGCCAGATGAAAGGGATGATTCACTTGTATCAAGAAATTCAGCTGCTAAAGGGAAAATAATGGAACACTGAGTCAAGTGTTTTTTATGATCAAAATCTTTTTCATAAACATGTGAAAAACAACATCAGTCTTTAGCACTTTAATTTACATAGTCTTGGAAAGCTGCTACATAACCATGAGAGGCTGGGAAAATCTGCATGCAATGTTTTGCTCTACTGGGCCACAGGGATCTCTAAAATGCCTATTGTGTGATTAGTAATTTCTTGTTCTCTGGCTAACTGAACTATAAGCCATAAAGTACTAAAAGAAAAATCCTGCACAGGTCTAATGGTGATTGAAAATGAGGAAATATGGGAAGTAGTGGGGGTCTGATAAAGCCCCACAGAGGACTATTTGCCTGATATGAATCTTTGCTGTGTATGACTTTTAATCTCACTGCATAATTTCAGTAACTTGTTAGGCTGCTTTTTAAACAGAACTGAAATATTCCTTTCAGATCTGAAAAGCTGAAGCTTAGATAATGATCCCTCTTTCCCTGCTTCCTGGCATAGAGTCACTGCCTTCCTCCTATGTCCTCCAGTCTATCTTTAGCCTGCATGTTTCCTAGTCCATATTGCTTTTGCACCAGTTCCCTCTTACCGCTGAGTTTCAGAAATAAATCTCCCATATTTTTCCTACAGTCATACTAGTTATTTTCTAAACTTGGCTCCTTGGTTCTTGTTCACCCACCCCTAACTATTACTTATTCCATTCAAGTTTCTTGAGCATTTTTCATCTATCCAATTCTCATTCATAGCATAATTCTTCAGCTTAGCATCCAAAGCTGATGGTTCTTCCACATTCAATGATGTCTGCAAGGGCTTCTTCCTCCTGAAGAAGATACAAAACTGATGCCAGACAGTCGATTACCTCCACTGGGTTCTCTTATCAGCCTCAGAGGCCAGGTCTCACTTGTTTCTTTTTGAAGTGGAGGAAGTTCCTTAGACATTGCTTCCAAATCGGGAAACTGGAGAAAAGGAAGAAAGAGGGCTTAGGTTTTGCAACTTAACACCTAGGAAAACCAGACAGCAAACACCCTTCTCCCCTTGCAGAAAAATAAATGAAAAAATTTTTAAAAAAGGAATGCAAAGGAAACAAATAAGCAGAAACAAAGTGGTGACTATAAAAGTGGTAGAAATAGTTACATCAGATTACAACCTACATTTCTGAGTATGCTTTATGCACTTACATCATTTACCAGTAGAAAAGCCCCCAAGATCATCTCTAAATTAGGAGTGTTTGTTTTACTTATTCACTTTCTAATAAGCAAGGAGAGGGGTTTGAGGGGTAAGTAAAAAAATCCTGAGGTTGAGCTTTGCCCTGAATCAGGCTCTTTCCAGAGCTTATGTAAGGAATTTTATAGAGTTTGTTATCAGTGAACATATACCATCTTCATCTGCCATGGTTGTCTTTTGTAATGGTTTGTTGAGATAAAAACCCAAAATTGTCTTTGGGAGCATGGGAGATACTAGTTGGCCTAACAGACTTCATCCAGTTTTCAGCTGCATTACCTTTTGTTGGTAGAAGGTTTTGCCAAATTCAGATTCAAAATACGGAGCATAAATATCATTTATCAGTGCTGCGAATAAAGCTTTCTGTTTATCCAGTTCTTTCCTAGGGATGTTTTTCACATTGTTGGTAAGGAAAAGAAAGAAAAAAAAGCATTATAACTGAGTTCATCTTGTTTTTCAGTATTGTGCATCAAAAAGTGGATTTGGTAAAGGCAAGTGGCATTTTCTTGTGTGGTTCATCACATGAAGTAATATTCTTGTAATTGGCAATTTTCTTGGAGGTGGATTAAGAATTGACTGGTCAGAATGCAGACAGACAACAAGCTGCCTGCTATGAGGAGCTCCTCCTCAGAACATACTCCATTTCTCTTAACCTCATGGAACATGTCTGGGACTGCCACTGGTGTCTTTCCAACCTTCCAACAAACACTTCAAGCTAAGAATTGGTATTCCAGATACATTGCTAAAATTTTGAACACAAAACTCATCTAATTTCATTATCTTATCACAGAAAGACTTGACGGCTCTGTGGATACAGAAAAAGCTGTTCAAAATTCTGAAGGTAAGGCTGACCAGAGTAAAGATCAGTCATGTTTTCAGCTTGATATAGCCCAGTTTTACACTATTAGAATTTCACTGACTTGTAGCAGGGTCTAATATCAGCTATAAAATGATCAGTCTTAATCATACGGAGAGTTTAAACACTGGTTTTAGAGCCAGAATTGCACATGATGTTCTTGGGTGCTGACTGCTCAGATTTATATATTGAAATTATTTTTTAATAGGATCCAAAACAGTGTGAAATGCTATATGAAAATGAAACTCTGAAATTCTAAAAGGCTTTTTTATCTCATGCAAATCAGAAATAATTAAGAAGCAATATGGAAAGCCTCACATGGAGTGCTGTGTCCACTTTTGACCTGTCTGGTGCACAAAAGGGCCACAAAGATGATTAAGGGTTTGGAAGACCTCTCATGTGAGTACAGGCTGAGAGAGCTGGGACAGTTTTGCCTAGAGAAGCTTTGAAGCACCACCATGTGAGATGGTCTGGGGTTCTATTTGAAAAAATCAGCTTTTATTTGTGGAATACCTGAATCTTAACCTAAAGCGTCAGCATTTGAAAATATTAATATACAGTATATTCTACACTAGTGGCAGAAGCTGAAAACAAAACAAAGGGCTTCCGACTTCAGCCTTGGTTTGCATCGTGCAAGTTAACAGTAATGCTGCTGGGTTTTGGGAAAAAAAAAAGACAAAAGAGACTCAAACCACTTTTACAGCATTTCTGTTGAGCAGAAAATACCCTATTATTTGCAAGCAAGCCATTGCACCATCACCCAAGACCTGGTGAAATCAGTAATATTCTTTACCAAAGCAGATTAAGCTGGCTCATAAAATAACTTGATCCTACTAATATTATTACCAGGTCTCTTCCAGTTTGCTTTTCCACTTGGATGTTACTCCATCCGGACTGAATCACCCAGAAGAAAAAAAGAGAGAGTAGTGGGAATGAGAAAACTAGTAGTCTTCTATAAATACAAAAATATTTACAAGATAACCCTGGAAAGAAAATGCTTTTTGTGAGAGTATGTTATGTAAACACTTCAGGTGGCTTCTGACTCAGACTCGTATGGTTTGCACAAAAATGTTTGCTTATATCTGCATTTTTATTAAATCATTCAATCCAAGAAATATGCAAAGTCCTTTTCCAAGAAACTTTGAATTATCTTTCAGATATGGAAAGAGAGCCATAGAGGGACAAAATAATCACAGGACAAGACAGTAAAACGTTGCCGTATGTATCTAGGGATCTAGATTCCAGCCCTTAATGACAGTCAGTAAAGCACAGTGCGCTTGGCTCCACCCTTTGTGTCATTTCCATTTGCACCAGTGCTTGCTGCTCTGTCCTACCTGTCCTGCTGGTCCTGTCTCTGTGCAGTGCTTGCCTTCCGAGTGTGATCCTGGGCAGGAGGAGCCACTGCCTGCTCATACAGCTGGCTCACACGGGCTGCAAGGGGAATGGCATTGATGAATGGGCTTGCTCTGCTGCACAGGGTTATGAAAAAAAATCAAAGGATATTTTTAAATGCATCTTTCTGCCACTTTATGGAAACCTAACAGAATCTTTGTTACAGTGAGGGAAAAGGCAGAAAGAACTTCATTCCAAAATCAAGATCAGAGAATTAACAGATAAGAAGTTGAATTCAATATTGAAAGGAGAAGAAGCACATTAGGTTCACACTCCCACCCTGTATTTCCTGACATATTTTTCCGTTCTTTCAAGATACAAATAGCTGTGAATAGGAAAAGTTGCTGACATTCAGCCACTCTCTAACTGGGGTGCTCTGAGGTCTTTACCTACAGCTGAAGAAAATAATGTGGGCTTTCAGGGACCCTTATTACATTTAGATTGCTTAAGCTTGCTTGTGCTTAATTGAGGTTGTGAAGCAGCCATAATCAACATTCTCATGGAAGGAACTGCTAGTTCAATATATATAATGGAGAAATGCCAGCCTTTCCACATTTAATATTGTGACCAGCTCTATTAAAGAGTTGTCCTGTCCTCTGACATATTTTATAAAGTGTGTTGTTTACTTTATACCTTGAAGCTAAATCATGGGTCCAAAGAAATTTCCTTGTCTAAAAACAATTTTCTGTGGCGAAGTTTAGGAGATGTGAGTATTTGAGAGATATGATCCTATTAGACTATGACAATATCTCTTAGTGTTCTGGGAATTACATGAGTTCAAACTTCAAAATGTGGGGGTTTTTTTGGTCACCTTCTTCACCATAAAACATGATTTTATTTTTCAGCTTTTTCTATTTTTACCTGTTTCTAAGAGCTTTTCTTTCCCACTATCTTCTTCATTAGCAACACCACATTAAAATTGCACCTCCATTTAAGAGGAAGCTGTTCAGCAAGCATTTGTTGCAGCAGTTTCTGTTTATTTTGCACAGTATGACGTTTTTGACAAGTAGAAATATTCTTGACAAGGAAAATAACACTTTAAAGATGAGCATCACAAGGGGATAGAATGTAATGAATTTTTCTACAGAAAAGGGTGATGGGTTTTTATAAGAGATAACTTTTATTTGTACATCTTGATGTACAAATGTGATGTGATGGTTTGAGATTAGATTTTGAAGTGTAATAAATGACTAGGATTTACTTAGTTGCTTTGAAAAACTTGTCTGAAAAGTTGTTACTTGCATAAAAATAGCCAAGTATTGTCATAGCTCTTACAGCTAAGAAAATTCACTACATGAAAATGTCAAATACACATGCCTAAAACCAGGAATTATTTTTCAGACGTACTGGATCATTGATGCTAAGAGGTCCTAATCATCTGTGAGAGTTACACAGAAGCATGTGCATAGTACATAGATGAATTCACCTTTATATTGCCTCTTTAAAAATAATAGTACAATACTTTTAAACTTATTATGATATTTTTTAATTAAAAATATTATATATATTTAATTTTAAAAGTACATGTATTCAAATTTTTATTACCTTTATCACTGAGCTTTTCAGTTGACTTTTTCCAGTCAGGGAAGGACTGCAATGAAGAAGGAATAACTGTGACTACATGAGAAATAAAATTCACAACAACATCTTATTCAGAGGATTTATATTATAAACAAGTGCTACCTTGTTATCCCCACTCTTGTAGTCACATTGTCAGGTGTGTCAGAAAACATACGCTGGGAAAAAAGGAAGTACAATTTCCCTGTTCTAAACAGGTATTTGACTCCTTCTTGATGACCCACTGCATAGATAGCTTTTTATTTTATATGGTCACTTTTTATTAGGTCAACTAAGCTAATTCCTAATCAAATTGAAATCCTTTGGCAAAAAAATCTGAAAAAGATGTACCTATAATGTATTAAAATTAGACTCCCTACAAGTTAAATGGGAAATGTGTTCAGGAATTTGCAGGCTTTGTTACTGAGGAGGTCTCATGTGGCTGGCTTACAGTAAAGTGAATGAGGGTTAAGAGGCTCTTAAGTGTTTCCTTTATTCTCATGCTGTCTCTGAAGCAGTTAACTGGAAAGCAGAGCTCCTGACCAGGCAGTCTGGGTTGTAACAGAGCTATTGGAGACTTGGGAGCAATGTGACACTGATTCCTGGGTCACAGCAGGTGCTCACTGAGACTGCTGCAAACAATGTGAAATCTGTAACTGGAAATGAAGGTGCTGAAGGTAGCCAGGACAATCAACAATAATTAGTCACTAGACAAGTTCACTGGATCTGAGCAGCATGTGAGGTTCAGCACCTGGGCCTCACTGAAGTAAATAAATGTCTGCCTAGAGGATAGATGCAGATGGAATTACTGACAGATCATTTCTCTGTCCCTTTTTCCAGAAAAGCTGTGATCCTCTTCTATTTACCCACCTTTCCCATTACCTATTCCTCTCCTTTTTGTGCTCTAATTATCCATGAAAATTCACAGATTATGTTTAAAAAAACAAAATGCTGCTCAGCAGTAATAACAATATTCCTCCAGACTGTTTTTGTATTATCCCAAAAGCAGGGTTTAAATTCTTACTATGGAGGTGGCTGTGGTTGAAATAGAAGTCTCCCATGTGCAATGACAACAGACTGGAAACATTTTCACCCTGATGTTGGGGGATATTAAAAAAAGTAAATTACTGGAAAGTAATTTTGGTCTGTGTGTTTGGGAACATATCATTCAGTAGAACTCTTGAACTGTTTTGAGCATTTCTTCCCCAAATGGCAGCAGTGCCCAGCTGAATTCAGACCAGCTGAAGGCTGACTGTGGCTCTGCTTTACCATTAATCTACACCAGAACTGGCTCTATGCTGCTCTGACATTTGCTGGTTTATGAATGGATAATGTGCTTCAAGTCGCACACTTCCAATGCAATACAAGGGTTTTGTTGAAAGAAATACTTAAAAAAATTTGATTTTCTCACTGTAACCTGTTCAAGGAGACTTGCAGCATTCTCCTTTTCCTCTTCTGTTCTTACTTCTTTGACATTAATCTCTTCCAGCTCATTTTCCTGCTTTAAGATGTTCTCTACATATTCCTGGTGGAACAATGAAAAGGAAGAATAAAGATGCAGATGTAGGCTTAAAATAGATATTTACATTGACATAATTGTTCCAGCTGCTACAGAAAAGAAGCACATTTCTTTTCCCACATCTCTTTCAATCAGTTGGATAGAAAAAAGGGTTTTAAACACACCACTCTGCCAGAAAGCTACATGTAGTACAGAACTTTACTAACAGACAGGTTTGTAGAAACAAATGTTTCCCACAACAGTTCTTTTTCACTTGTTTATATCTCTTTAATCTTATAGGAGATGGAGAAAGAAAGCATATTTTCCTTAAATCTTGATTTTGCTCTGACAAAGTGAAGGTGAGGCTAAAGATTTAAGACACTTCATTCTGGAAAAAAAAGGAATTAATTAAATATTGATTTATGAACAATGAGAGTATTTTCATTGCACATTTATGCAATTGTTGCAACTGTTTTTTCAGTGCTAGTAATTGCAGTTCTTCCTTCCCAGTGTAATAAACAGCATTCAACTTTCTCTAAAAATCAACAATATATCTGGGTGATGAATAGACTTCCCTTGCCATTTTGGTGTGGAACTTTTCTTACACTGTTTCCCTTTAGAAGATCAGTATGCAAATTAAAGAATAATTTTAATATATTTATAGACTGAAAAACTGGTAACATTTCATTCTGATAGACTTGAATATCCCAAACATATCTGGGCTGGCCAGCTGTCAGTGTTTTTCTATTGCAAGCATGTTTTCTTTGAAATGTAATTGTTGGAGATTTTTTCAGGGATGGCCTAGAAGGCAGCTGTGAGGAGCAGGTTCTCACAGCCTGTTTCTGTGAACAGCAGAGGTTCTCAGGTTATTTTTAATTACAAGTAAAGGTGACAAACATGAAGGCCTTGAGAGCCTTGCACATCAGAGTTCTCAGGCAGCTTTCTCATAACAAGTGGATGTTCTATCTTTGGCTGTTTTGGGAAAGCAGAAATAATTTTGAGAACCTAAATCTTAGTATTGGAAACATAAGGAGGAGTTGGTATGTTATCTCTGACCTATTGTGAGCTCAGATTTTGCAATATGCATGAAGTGAATTAACACTGTTATAAAAGGTGCCTGATTGATCAATAAAGTGGAGTCGATGCTGACCAACGCAAGGTGGGTCGTCTCCCCTCCGACTTCAATATGTAATGTGGGTAAAAAAAAAATTATATAAATGGCTACAATATATTACTACCTTCACACATGTCATATGCTGTTAACTTACAAATTCAGTCTGCAATGCCATTATCAAAATAGTTTAAATGAATAAATTACAGGACACATATATTTTGTTCTTCTCTAATTCCTAAGTAATAATGGGGTTTTGACTCTAAAATCTCTTCTAAGAGCATCTTCGCAATGTGAATTAAATAAAGGAATGTTTTACACTAACACTGAGAAGGGCAAAGCTGCTCACCTTTGGACACCATCTCAGAACACTGGCACAGGAGGTCTAGCTTGTACCCTGCTATGAGCAAGTCACTAATGAGGGATGACCACAAACCTTGTCAGAAGGCTACACAGCTATTTCCTAGACATGGATAGAGTAACAAACTCAGACTGAAACCTGGAAATGTTCTACATTGATTTATGAAAAAAATATATAACCAAGACCAGAGTGTGTCTCAGTGTCTCAGTGACCAAGTTGCAGAATTATGGTGAGCTAGAAATTCTTGTTCAGCTTTATAGATTTAAATTCTTAAGGCTTTTTGAAGGAAAACAAACCCTAAGCAAAATAAAAGTGAAGTAAGAGATATCAATATTGACAGCAAGGAAATTATATGTTAGAGTACTGTCGGTCATGTATGCTGGATTGGATCTCGTGTATTTGCTCAGAAAGCTAGGTTTCATAAGAGGTAAATGAAACAATTGAACTTTTTCAGAAAAACACTTACAGCACCTATGTATGAAATAATTGTTCTTCAAGCATAGTCGATATTTCTCAGGTATATACTTCACATTTATCACACCCAATTCATCTACTTGTTTCTTCTCTTTTGCTTACTGGAAGAATGAATAAATGTGGTTGAACTACCTTGAGGGAAAGATGCAGTTTTTCTCTTAGTTCATCACAGAGTGGCTTATACTGGAATAGCTGGCGGATCTGCAGTTTTTTGGGACATTTTCGCACTGGGGCTGGCAAGGACACACGAGCTTCTCCGATGCTGAGACCCCTCCAGGCATACCTTCTCACTAGGGGACCTTTGATCTCCTTCTGAACAGAGAGGAGCAAACAAAAAGAGCAAAACCCAAAAATGCACCTATTGGCAATATGTCTCAGTTGAAAGGTGTGTCATAGACCTAGACAATAAAGCCAGTAGATTCCTGGGAACAATTTATCTACGCTAAAACATCTTCATTTGGTAAGACAAACTCCCCTTAAAATTGCTTTATCCCCTCACTAAGTGTAAAAGAATGGGACCATACATTTCCTGGCACAGCCTACCATTTGCTCTGTCTGCTTAATAAACTGAATTTAACATTCTCACTATTTAGAGCTTCATTTCCCCACAGAGACAAACATCTATTGCTTTAACATGAAAAGACAGTTTTGAAACAATTATACCTCAGGAGGAGAAGATTCTTTCTGAGTCTCTGGCTGTAGATATGGAGGAACAATACTCTCTGGTTCTTTCTTCATTACCCAGGGGGATGTTTCAGCCATAGGCCGGAGGACAGTAATACTTAAAACACCTGGTTTAAAGACAAATTTTGCTAAGAACCAGTTCAAATTAAAAAACAAAAAAGTGTCTCAGACCTACAGAAAAAAACTACCTATCGAAAAAACATCTTATTGCTAACAGATAAAAGTCCTTGCATCCACGGCTACAGATAATATCAGATCACTGTGTTGATTATAGAATAGTGGTACAAGTTCAGATTATTCAGCCCATTTGTAACAATAACTTGCTTATGCTACTTGCTTTGATTCTTGGTTAACAGCTCAGTTGTATAGTTGTGGGGAGTAGCCCAAACAAGGAAGAGCACAGCATTGACCCATGTGTACTGAATACTAATCTCAGTAGTACTACAACGTATTCAGAACATGCATAATTCTTCTTTGTATATTACACTTCATGCCCTGATCACTAGATGGATTCCATTAGAGATTATTTATTTGTATTGTTTGCATAAATTTTGATGTTCTTCAAAATATTTTTTCCAGCCCAACCCAAAAATTACTTAATCTACTATGATCTATCCCACAGGCGACCTTCAAAATGGGTGTCACCACTGAGGTACTTTGTCATAATGATACAAAATTGTGAAACTTTGCTGTAAAGGCAAATAGACCCAGTATTGTGAAAGGTGGAGCAGGAAGTCAGATGTGCTACTATTACAAATGATTGCTGGCTGTAAGTAAAATTTTTTTACTGGGATTTTGACTGGGTATGTATGCTCTCCATCTTTCTGATCTTTTCACCTTCTGCATTTTTCTGGCTCCCTCCATGTCCCTTCTTTTTTCTTTTTTCCCATGGCAGAATGGCTTCATTTGGTTTTTGCAATGGGGAACCAGTCATTTGTGTGAATAAAAGTACATTTAAAAATGTGCCACACTTTATAAGAGTAGTAAGTGGGAAACCTGTTTTATGTCATATGCTTATGACATAAATCTATGAAAAATTTGTCTTAGGACATTATGGCTTGAAGCAAATTTCTGTCATCATCCCCTCATATTCAGGGGAACCATAATTTTTAAAGATTTAAAGATTTAAAATCTTAAAAAATTTAATCTCTTTTTAAAGATTTTTTTTTGTTAGCAACTACCTGTTGCTACAGTGTCTTTTATAGAAACACAGCAGATCCAATTACCTTTACAACAAGCAACAATTCCAGGACATAATTTCTTGCATTGCTACTACAATGTGGTTGTTACCATGTAGTATTGGCTATTCCAGTCACATTTTTTTAGCTTTTTAATATGTATCCTTTCCAAAAGACAGCCTAAAGATCAACAACAGAGCATTACTCTCCTCATTGCTACATCATTAATGGACACTGTGATACATTCAAGTTTTTTAGATGATAAACACAAAGAATATATTTAGTTGGCAATTGCTTTTATTTGTGTGACTGAGAGTGGATAAAGATATGCCATTTGTTAGTTCACGTATCCCTTAACAGTGTCCTTCAGTTAATTCTCTGTTTCTCAGAGTTTTCCCCCAAACTCACTTCTTCCACTCCTAGAAGGCGTGGATCCTTATTTACAAGAGTAAAAACATTTCCTGCCCAAATGAGAGTTTTGAAACTTTTCAATTCTTTCTATTAGTAGCCTGTCAGAGAAGAAACATTTTCTACCTGGCTGTTCTTGTACAGGATCCTGCAAGACTGCAGTGGCAGGATCACTGCAGGCCTCAGCCATATACTCGCGTACATCCTTTGTTCGCAGGAGCTCCGTTCCAGAACCATCCTCAGAGATGATGAAAAACCTGCACAGCCAAACACACACACGGAGCTCTATGAAGAGAGCAGAACTCCAGCATGATGGCATCAAATGTGCAAATACAGAGTACTGAGCAAAGGGAGCACGAATCCATGAGCCCTGTAAAATACTGTGAAGAAAAGAAAGTGTTAACCTATGAATGCAACGCATTTTACCTGGGGACATGCTCGTTATCAGTGACAGGTTTGTTAACATCATCTGCTGCTGAACTCTTGTCCTCCTTCTCATCAGAACCACTGCTGGGAATGCACACATCTGTGCTGCCATCAGCCAGGACCTATAGCAGAAATTATGTGAAATTACTTGAGTTAAAAGATCCTTTTAAAACAGTGACTTGCTGGAGAGTTTTAACATAGCCTAGCCCAGTGAAAGAGATAGAAAAACACATTTCACAATGAGCAACTGGAAACTCCCAGGAAAAAGAAATAAAGAGGAAAACTGAAAAGACAGTAAAACCCCAACAACATTTCTCGAAAGACATGCTGTATCATAAATACTAATATCACACGCTGGTATTTAATAAATTCCAAAGGACTGTTACACAGAAATACTCACTCACTGGTCAAGCCAGGTAACTGTAATACTCAAGACAGACATTGATGTATACATACTGAGTGAGCTTCTACAGTATTTTCCTTCTTGAAAACACTATGTGCTTATTAACTAAGGTAACATTAATATATTCAAACAAGATAACTAACAATGACCTAAAAAGGAATACTAATGCCTTTTTCAAGATACAATTTAAATAAGGGTGATTCAAAGCACAGTCCATTAACTGAATCTGACATACCTAGTTTTTAATCCTCACTTGCAGACCTGATTATTTGCTATAGTACAAATCATGCTAATTAAAGGTGAGCTAAATTGTACACCATGTGCTCTGTTTCATTCTCTCTAAAGAGGGATAAGTATATAAAAAGAATATCCATCACATAGTCAAGAAGATATCAGAAACCTGATTCTGGCTACTTTAAATATTACAAGGTTACAATTTGACTTTGAGAGCAGTTTATAATAGAATGTAGAAACTTGTTTTCTTCTGTGTATTTTACCTTGAAAGTATTTCCTTCAGGATCCATCATCTCACAAATAGTGCTGGAAGTGTGTTTCATAATGTATCTCCCTGCTTGTTTCTCTTCTTCCTTGCTGCTGAAATCATAAGCTTCATGGCTGTAAACTGCTGAGCAGTCTTCATCAAAGAAAAGAAAGCCTCCCTTGCTGGGTAAAACCTATGACAGCAAAAAGGGAAGAGGTTCAATCCTCAAAGGTGAAAATTCTAATTTAAAGATACTGTGAAAATGAAGAACAGATACAAATCAAGAGGACAGCTTTCAGACATTCAATATTGAATCATCCACTTTAGAGGAATCAAAGGGGAGAAAGGAGGAATATGAGGTCCTAGAGGTAGGCTGATCTGAGTCTCTGTGATATTTAACTTCAGGAAATTTGAGACTCTGATTTAAATACACTGTACATTTGTGAGTAAGTATCTAAACATTGGCAGAGTATGAAAGAGATAGAGTAATAGGGATTAGTGAAGACTACAGAGAAGGGAGGTAATGAAGGTGAGAGCTGCTAATGGCAGGGAACTTGGAACACAAAGATTAAATATCACTGTCACAAACTAAAAATAATTCCCACCTGATATGTTCCCTGTGGCTTTGCTACAATAGATGTCCCATCTCCAAAGACAGTACAACAGGTACCATCCTTCCAATCTGCTACAACAGTAGCAAACTCAGGATGCTCTACTCGTGTACCTTTGCGCTTCTTTGCGATGGCTTCTGAGGGTTCATCTAAGAATTAATTCAGAACAATGAGACAGGAGCACAAGAATCATGGAAATGTCTTAGGATTCAATTTGCTTTTTCTCTCATAGTGCTGGATCTTTATCTTTTCAGTGCAAGACCTTCATAAACTTCATAGCATCCTTTATCACATATTTTTATGTTATGTAAACAATATGCAATCTTTTAAGTTCTGGACTTTGAATTCAATATAGGAAAACCCAAGAGTAAAAAACATCTGTAACCATCTGTAGCTGGCCAGGAAAGTACACTCTAATGTACCAAGTATGGTACTAACCATAATGATGTGCATATTTGCAATATACAAGTTGGATCACTGAAATTCTTTGTGTCTGTAATACAAACTCTAAAATGTGAAGAAATTCCTATTCAGCAACACAAATCTTGGAAAACAAATGATAACAGGCATGTTAATCTGGTTACTGCCTTTCTATTGAAGAGATAGGTCAGTTCAAGGGATTTTGACTTTTGAAATCCTACAGGGAGATGTCCCTGAACATTTTCTGCTAAATCAATAATGGTCTTTCCCTCCACTGTGTTTGAACAGCCCAGATGCCCACACACTAAATTGTCCCCTTCATTTTAATTAAGGAGGACAGGACTTGTTTTGCAAATGAAGCAGTCATAGAGAATACACCACCAGCCAGAAGAGTCACAGATGATCTTTAGCCCGACTTATTTCAGGCAAATACAAGTTTCACTTTTCTTGGCAGGCCATTTTCTACAGGCATATTCAGATATTTAGTATCTCCAAGGCTGGTGAGTCCATGGCTTCACTGGAGAATGTAAGGATGCCTTGGTCCTTTCATACCTCTTCAGTTAAAACTCAGAGCTTCCTTGTTATTATTAGGGCAGGGGAGAGAGGGCAATGAACACACTAAAACCCTGGCACAGTGGTCTCATGGGGAAGAAGGACCATATAGGTACGAAAGGAGATTAAATTACTTGCGAGAGTATAATTTTTGCACTGAATATACTGCTGCAAGAAAGCAAACAAACTAAGCCTAGACTGCACTAGTGGATCTATTATCTAGGCTACTGATATAAGCCACCTTTAGTATATATTTGGACAACTTTCTGCTTCATAAAATATTAAGTGCAAGAAAAGTAAGTGCTCCCCTTTAGATATTACCTGTTTCCACACTACCCTCTGGTACAGAAAGGTCTTCACATTTTTCATAAAAAGATGTAATCCTGGTACCATCAGCATGTTCTACTACTTTGTTACCATCTGGCTTTTCAACAATTATCACTTCATCTTCTCGTACAGTCATAATCTGAAAGAAAGAAGGACTACTTATTTATATTGGCCCTGTGATACTTGTGACAGCAGCAACAATATAAGGGATCACAACTGAAACTCTAAAGAAGCTTGCCTACCACATTGTCATCTACTTGAGAGACAGAGGAACCACATTTTTTTCCAAATCTAAAACTACTGCATTTCTAACAGTGCAGTAACACAACCTGTAGGATGCTTTAAAAGAATAAATCCTACAATTTATGATTGCTAGCCCTGTCTCTTAGCTTATAGACAGTGCTACAGTAACACCAAAGCAGTTAATACCATTCCATCAGCTGGGTTCGTGGCCTGATACATTAAGAGAGGCTTCAGATCCATTCTTGTGGCACCCTCTGTGCCCACTAGAATGCCTAATGGAGTTGTTGTTATCCAGGTTCCTGCCTTAGGTTGTGTAGAAATGACCTTTTCAAACTCATCAGACTTCTGAGACGGTAGTGATGTCTTGTCACTGCCTTTTCCTGCAGAAACAAAAAATTTCTGTATCAGACTTGATGTTCTCTAAGGCAAAAAACAAAACCAGTGAAGTTCAGTTTGTGAACATTGCTTTTGACAGAATTGCAAAATGAACTATTTAACAGGCTAGAAGAAAATTACAACTCCTGCTACTCAAAGACATGATCTTGAACTAGGCTTATCTTATGTACTTCCTTACAGAAAAAGTAAATAGCATGCTAATGCCATCAATCCTGTGGTGCATCATAAGAAAAGGGTCTCATTATGAAAGGCAACTGGAGAGATCTTACTAGGAATGTTCTAGAGAACTCTTGTCTCCCATATTCAGGAAAAATAGACAACGTCTATGCAAAAGACAAGAGTGTAGTCCAGAGAGCAGGCAGAAAGACTTACAGCAATTATCTAGCAAAAAAGCACCCCTGAGGCCAAAAAGAGATGAAACTCTTAACTAGAAATTTGTCAAGAATAAGCAGGGGAGAAGGTGAAAAAGTGATCATAAATAAAGGACAAGAAATAAAGGACATACACTAGTCAGAGATACTGACAATTCATATTAGAAAATGGTTTGTCAGAGTTGTTCTTCTTTGCAGGTATCTAAAGGAATATCCTAAGAAAAAGGACTGGACTTGACTCAAAAAGTCTCTTATTGAGACACTTTTCTCTTTGGCAGCAATTTTTAGTCACCTATTTCCAATAAATTTTATGTTAATACGACAGGTCAGAATTATTCTGTGTACTAAGTAATACTGACAGTGATCTTGGACTACACTCTGAGGTAGGAAGTAAACATTATTTCGTTCTTTCTCAGTCAAAATACAATAAGAATGGCTATATTACCACCAAGCATCTGTCCATACAACCAATTGATAATGACCAATAGTAGTTGCCTTGGAATACATGGAGTGAGAAAGAAAAATTTATCCTCTGTGAGAGAAACATTTCTTAATACAAAGACTAAAAACTGTAAGAAAAAAGTAAGGACTTAACACTACTGTAGTTACAAGGATTTATTTTAAAAGACCTTGGGCTCACTCTGCTATCAATGAAGTTCTTACACAACCTTTTACTTATTAGAGTCCTACCATGTTAGAAGAAAAATAAATTTGGAGTAGGAGAGAGATGATTTGCTATGAAGGTAACATAGCAGTGTGCAGCAGCTGAGTACAAATAAATTTGCATTTTCACATTGTCAGAATTTTCAGACTAAAGATATATGCTCTTTGTTAAGTATCATCAGCCCTACTAACTTTAAATCTGTCCAAAACACAAGAAATATTACCTTTCTTTGTGCTATTCTCAGATAAATGGTCTGATTCTGGTAAGGGAGATTTCACCTGTATTTCATCTGCAGGTGGGGGTAGGACAGGACCAGAATCAGGGCTATTAATCACCGTGCCATCAGCAAACAGAATCTACAGAAATCAAGGACATACTTGAGGTTAAAATAAATTCAAACACCACAAGAAAGTCTTAAAAAATGTGTCACAAAGTGACAGTCACTAGAATACTGTAGGTGATGAAGAGGAAAAAAGTAAAATCACTCAGAATGAATACAAGAAATAAAGAAGCTATCTTGAAGAGAATTAACAGAACAGACTATTTCAGTTGGAAGGCACCTACAATGATCATCTCGTCCAACTGCCTGATCACTTCAGGGCTGACCAAATTAAAGCATCTTGTCAATGGCATTGATCAAATGTCTCTTAAACGCTGACAACCTTGGGGCATCAACCACCTCTCCAGCAAGCCTGTTCCAGTGTCTGACTATTCTTGTAAAGAAATGTTTCCCAATGTCCGGCCTGAACCTCCCACAGTGCTCCTTTGAGCCACCTCCATGTGTCCTGCCAGTGGATTCCAGCGGGAAGGGATCAGCACCTCCCTCTGCACTTCCCCTGTTAGGGAGCTGCAGAGAGCAGGAGGTTGACACTCAGCACCTGGCTCTCCAAAGCAGACAAGCCCAGAGCCCTCAGCCACTCCTCTCAGGATGCACCTGCCAGCCCTTTCAGCAGCTTTGCTGTTCTCTGGACTCACTGCAGGACCTTCCCACCCCTCTGGAGTGGTGGTGCCCAGAGCAGCTCCCAGCACTGCGGGTGAGGCCGCAGCAGCGCTGAGCACAGCGGGTGATGGATGATCCCCCTGTGCCTGGCTGTGCTCTGTGTTTGATGCCCCCAGGACACGGTTCCTGCCCTCTGGGCTATGCCCTGCTGCCTCTCACTGAGCTGCTGCTGCCCCAGCACCCCCAGGGCCCTCCCTGCAGAGCGCTCTTCAGACTCTCCTGTCACAGGTTGTACTTGTGCCTGGCATTACTCTGTCCCACTCTGTAGAATCCAGGAGTTGGTTTTGTTAAATTTCATCCCATTTGTCACTGCCAGAAGGAGTGCTATTTGCTGCAGTCTGTGGATCTAATTAATGGGGACTCTTCTAATAACAAAAAGTGTTATAAAAATAAACAGTAAAGATTATTCTTTGACTAAATGGTCATAGGTTAATGACTTTTTTTTGGTAGCAGAGATAATGCATAATATGTATTGACATATTGAGCTGTACTGAAATATTACACACGTCTAGGAGTGCTGTGAACTTTTTTGGCCATTATGATATTCAACAAAAAGAAGTCTTGGTTACTCATCAAATTATATCTGGTTTCTGAGATCCATTACGCTCATCTCTTGATATGCATGTTCTCTGTGTGTCTAGATAAACTCTAGAATTACTCCAAACATCCCTAAATTAATTTATAAATACAGTAAAATGTAGAAAAGAAATGGACAACATATAGAAACAACTCTTGAAATTGTTACTGTAAGGAATAATTTATTTCTTCTTTTTTGAATGCTTATCATATGCAATAAATTTCTGATGACTCATAGACATTAAGTTAATACAAAGAAGGATGCACTCATCATCTGTTTAAGCAAAGACTAATGCAAAATCATTTTAGGCACATAAGATCTACAATTTTTCTCTCAGGAAATAGTATGTTGTGAATATATAGATATACAGCGGCTATTTCTGAAATGGATATATTTCTCAGGAATCCTGGCAAAATGTTTTAACATCTAGTGTGATGAATAAATGTAAAGAACTTACACTAGGCATTGTGATCTCCTTAGACAGGAAAAAGAAATTCAGGAAATAAGGAATTATTTTGACAGATTCTGAGTCAAATTAGATGATACCTCTTTCATCTGTTTGATAACTACATGTAGAGTCTTAGAGTTTAAAAAAAAAGTTGCTTGTGGATTGATTATAAAATTTGCAAAGATAGCTTATAGCACCTAAACTAACAAAATTCTACACAATAAAAATATGTGTAAACAAAGCAGGTACTTAGGAATATACAGACGTTTCCCCTGAAAATTTAGGGTATGTAAATGCGTCTACAGGAGCTCATGTCTTTTCTGGATCCCATATGAGTGTTTAAACTGAAAAAAATACATGTATGCTTTCATATTGCCAAAAATACTCAAAGCTGAACTAATCCACACTTCAGAAGTTTAAGTTTAGGAATGCACTTCTCTGAACCATATTCAGCTATTTCCTAATAACAAAGTTGCCTAAAAACTTTTAGTGCCTGAAATTTTCATACTTAAATCTTGCTAAGTTCTGACTCTGAACAAAGCCAAGAGTACTTTAGTCTTGACATGGCTGCATAATTCAGTATTACTTAACTCCATCATCTACAAACTGGACACTTCTCAATCTCAGTAGACAAAAACAAGTTTAAGGGTAATCACCTTCCATTTCATTGAATCATACTAAATTGCAGTGCTTGCAATGAATTCTACCAAACATACCTGGGTAGATCCATCCATCAGGTGCTTTATGACAGTTCCTTGACTAGTGATGACTCTTGACACCTCTTGTTCTTTTTGCCTCGCTGGAGGTGAATAAAGATGACAGTCCTTTACCTTTTGGGGATAACTCTGTCTAACCATAATTTCCAGAGGAGGATGCTTAGCCTGTTCACTTTGGGTGCCTTCCTGCTTGATTTCACTTTCTGTAACCTGATGTTCCTCCTCTCCACTTGGCATAACCTCTTCCTTCCCTCCACTTGGCATAAGCTTTTCCTTCTCTTCCTCATCTGCTTTGCCATTACTTTCCTCTACTGTCTCTTTCTTTGCTTCAGTGGCAGCGGCTTCACCTTTCAAACATGAAAACAAACTTTGAATTACTTAGTACTGCATAGCACACATTCAAACAGTGCTACATAGCCAGCACCACGATGTCAGCAGAAGATGTGCAACTCTAGGTGAGACTAACCCTCCTTGGCTGAATTTGTAATCCACAGAGTAAAAGACAGACCCTGATTCCAGTGCAAAGTTCAAAACAGTCACCTACTCAGAAACTCTGCATCCTCTTGTGAAGGTGGCTGTCTTTCCAAATGAAAACAAGGAGAATGTGATGATGGATTTCTTATGGATGCTAAACTTTTGGAAGACTAACATCATGTGAGAGGAATTCCCTAACTGCCCATAAAGGTGAAAAAAAACCCCAACTGAGTTTCACCAAGTTTGAATTTGTAGAGAAACCCAAGTAATATATTCTGTCTGCTTGAGCAAGTAAATTTCTTAGATTAAATGATGGCAGTGTTTTGAGTATGCTAAGAGGTATAATTATGGTAATTTTATTGAGAGACTCAATGTAAGTGTCTGTAATTGCTCTGTTCACCTCAACTACTCAGCATTTCAACTTATGCTTCCTGCCAAAGTATGTATGTTTGAGAACACTCTCCATGTTCATTACTTCATACCAGATTAATCAGAGCACATTTACTGAGCTGTACAAATTTGTTGTACATAGGTATTAAATGACATCTGTACATGGCTGTTTTTAGAATTAACTAGACGACAAAAAAATTCACATTTCTCTGATTCAAAACCTAACAGCGTGACTAAAAAACCCCAAGATTTACTACAGTTTAGAACATGCAAAGATGAATCTAACAGTAATTTTCAAAAACACTGCAGAAAATAATTATTGCAGAATATTTGTCAGGCACAGAAGCTTTAAAGTATCCATATACCCTATCAGTCTTCTAAAGGAAATCCAATTATAAGGGCAGAAAGGCTTATTCTGGGTGTTTTCTCTCTATGTACTGGATGGCATAAACCAAAGGACTTCTGTGAAATAATTCCTGTTTGAAACTGATTGCACCTTTTAGAAAAGCAACAAAAAAAACCCTGATTGTAAAACCAGCAGCAGAGACTCCATCAAGCCTTGGTTAGTTTTGTTAATCATCCTTACCATTTATGAGTGTAACATTTTTACCAAATGAGTACAACTTAAACCTAGTACAAAGTCCTAGTTTTCAGTTTCAAGCCCCTGAAAATTGTAATAACTTTGTATACCTGTGTTTACCACCTATCACCAATTTTTTGTTTTCTTGTACTTCCAGGCTGACACTAGTCACTCCTTTGACCTTTTCTTTGGTATTTAAATGGAATTCTGTGGTGAAATGAGCTCATTATAAGATATATCTTCTGATGCTTTAATCATTCTAGCGATTCTTCCCTGAATCTTTCAAATTATTAACATTTTGTCTTGGGGGTTTAAGTACATATGCTTTCAAAGGAAGTGCAGACATGGGTAATGTAACCATCTTCCTGCTATCGCTCAAGATTCCTCTATATATATGTATTTATTTATTGAATTTGCTTGTTTTTCTTTAGTATTCCAATCTATGTGCATATTCAAATGATTATCCAACATGACTCTCAAGGGCTTTTTAGGGTTGCTACTTCCTTCCCCTCAATCTTTTATGTTCAACAACTTGTGATTCTAGATTTCATATTTGTTTGAATAAAATCATATTATTCATGTTGCAAATACTATGAAATAGACATTATGACAGCCTTAGCATTCTGACACGTTGAAAACATTAGAGTTACATCTAAACCCATCAATGAAGAAACAATTTTCTTCTGTAGTCTTAGCTTCTCTGAAATTCCTTACTTTGCAGTGTTTCAGAAAACTAACCTTGAAACCTTTCACTGAGGAAAGTTAGTACAAGTCCGTTGGGACAGGAGACATTCAAACTCGGAAAAGCAGGAGCATCTGACACCTCTTGTGCTTGGGGAACTGGTTCTTGCATTTCTACCTACAGAATGAAAAATTAATTAGGTTCTAGTCCACATTTTAAAATAATAAAGAAAAATTGAAAGTACAGTTTTAGTGTGTATAGATTCCGTTTTAACAGTAGTTTGTTTCTTTTTTTAGTGCTGTCTACCACTCATATTTAACATTTTCAGAGTTTATGGATTCAGAAGTGGAAATATTAGTTATTTTCTTTGATTATGCTATCTTTCATTCACCTTGAAGAATCATCCCCTCAAAAACCTATGTAACAATGGACTACACTATGCCAGTAGTCATAAGATGAAAAAAGTTTTGGGTTGCAGACATAGGTAACAGAGAGAACTTGTCCTGTTATTATTCCATATTCTTGCTTTTTAGGAGGAGAAATACAGGGGGGAAATGGCAGATGTTTTGCCATCTGTTTTTCAACATTAAAGATGCTGTATATTTTACAGTTAATTTACATAGTATTATTGGTAATTAAGGCTACTCTCAATACTCTAAGATTGTAGTAACAGCATCATGAGGTAGAAGTCACAGAATAGGGCAGAAGTAACCCTCAGTTGTCATCTAATGCTCCTTGTCTAATGGTAAAAACAGTAATCAAGTATAACTGCACCATTAGTGAAAAACTCTAATGTAAGGTATTCTAAAAATTTCCAGGACTGGAGGTTTCCTGGTAAACTGTTCCAGGGCTTTACCTTGCTTAGCCTTACTGACATTTTCCCAGAGACTGACCTGAATCACTACTGCAGAAAATCAGTTTACTTCTAAATATCTCTAATGATACAAGCTCACATAATAGATGATGGTTATTTTTAGGTCTTTACAGAAGGCTATTCTGTCTCTCAACTCAATATCAAAGAAACCCAAACTAATTATTTTAAATCTTTCCCAGTGGTTAAGTTTTCAAGACCTGTAAGCTTTCTTCATGCTTTCCTTAAAATTTTCAGGGTGGCTCTTGTTTTTCTCGCAGTGCAGTATCCACAACTGGACACAATACTACAACTGAGACTCTACCTGCCCTAAAAGAAAAATTACTTTACATATTTAGCAGGCTATACTCCTCTGCATTTACATCTCAGTGGTCTTTGCCCTTCTCACAGGAAGATGGCATTGTTGACTTACGGATAGCTTCTGATCCATGGCAACTCTCAGACCTTTCTCTATAGAACTGTTACTGACACAATTGTTATCCATTCTCTAGATATATACAGATTATTTATATGTAATTGTAGAACCTACCTCTTATTCCTACTGAATTCCATCCTATTTTACAGACCATGTCCATGTGAACTTGTTAAATCCGATTTGGATTCTAATCCTGTTCTCCAAAATACTTGCAGACTCAAACAGACAGGTGCTGTATGCACTAATAGGGATACTCTCTATGCAAAGTAATTCCAAACCAAGTAGCTAAAAACCTTTTGGTTTAGAAGTCATCCTGACAGATTTTTAATTATAGGGCTATTTTTCTATAGGGTTCATTTGCACCCTACAATGGCTGTATGTTATGCTGAGTGCTGTTTGGCAACTCCCTACACCACTTTCCATGATGAAATCAGGTAAAGAGACCTTTTTGTGGATATGCACAGAACAGCCACAGTGTTACCTCAACCACAAGGTACTAAAAACTACTTCAGAAGAGAAATTCAGAATTCAAAAGATTTCCAAAAGATTTCCAAAGATTGATTCATACTTTCCAAAGACCTGTACTATGATAGAAGTGCTTCAGTTAAAGGCTAAAGTAACTTCCTCAAATTGCTAGTTGCTGGCTTGTTATGAGCTTAAAAGACCAAATTACAGAGCAAGGTACTGCAAAACTGTCTTCACTAAATTGCTGGTTGGTTAGACTTTTGAATATGGGTTTTGGAAAGACCAAAGAAATTCTACTTGGTTAAACTAAAAATTTAGCAGTTCTTTTAACTGAGATATTAATAATCATAGAATGGTTCAGGTTGGAAGGGACCTTAAAGATTGTTGAGATCCAACCCCCTTCCATGGACAGGGACAGTATCCATTAGACCAGGGTGCTAAAAGCCCCATCCAACTTGGCCTTCAACACTTCCAAGGATGGGGCATCCACAGCTTCTCGCGGCATCTGTTCCAGTGCCTCAATCACTTTCACTGTAAAGAATTTCTCCCTAATATTTAATCTTAATCTTTCAGTTTAAAGCCATTTCCCCTTGTCCTGTCACTACAAGCTCTGGTAAAAAGTCCCCCTCCAGCTCTCTTGTAGCCTCACTTAGGTACTGGAAGGCATGCTCTAAGGTCTTCCTGCAGCATTTTCTTCTCCAGGCTGAACAACCCCAATGGTTTCAGTTTGTCTTTGCAGGGAAGGTTCTCCAGCCCCCTGATCACCTGCAGTGTAACAGCTGTAACTGTAAAGCCAAAATTGACAAAAGAATGTGGGCCATGGCAGACTCACTGCTTTACATCACGGAGCCATAAAGACTAAGTTTATTAACAGCTGGCAGTATGTACATATGAGAACAACTGAAAGAATAAAACATATCCTTAGGAGCACCACAAATTGTTAGGAGTTTGTAAAGGCACAGCTTAAAGCCCTCTGAGAAGAATATATGTTCCTTTTACAGAAGTTCATGCTTTTGAATCTTTGTTTTGTTTCTTTGGTTTGGATATTGTCTCTGCTCTCACCTTTTGTTCTTCTTTCTGTACCACATTATCAGGTGGTGAAGGGGCTAGTTTGCGACGGCTTCCTTTGGTAGAAGCTTTTCCTGATTTTCCTCTGTCAAGCTTATCTTTTTTTCCCTGAGATGGTGTAACAACAGAAACTGTTGGAACTACCGTTGGAAGATGAACAGAAGGGATGTTCAGAATTCTTTCTAAGACAAGAGCTGCTTCATCATCTAAGGAAGGAAAAGCAAGATTTTCAATGTAATTAAGCTTCATAAATGTAGATGGCCACTTTTTTCATAAACGATTTTGTTAACTGAATTTTACCTTAAAAATAATAACCACAGTGGGGAAGTTTGTTATTTCAGATAGAGGGACTGTATATATAAGAGTACTTAGAAAATCTTTTCACAGACTGAAAACTTATTAGCCCAAAAGACATCTTGAAACTATGGCTTCCCACAAGTTGTCACTTAGTTGTCACCTCAAAAATAAAAAAAATATAATTTTAAAATTATTTTTTACTTCCAGAATACTTAGAAGTGGAGACATTCGGAATCTAGTATCTGGTAAATGATCACTGTGTTCTGCTTTATCATGGGCTGATCCAGCATAGGCAGACTTGACAAATTTTGTACTACATATGTCTATTTTGCTATAATTCTTCAGAAAGATTCTAACGATCTAGACTTGATAAGACTCTTGCAATTCTTCAAGCCAAGCATTAGGACAGCCTTCTAGGCATGTCAACAGGAAGGAGTCATGTTGCCTTTCAAAACAATTTCTTTAAAATAAAAGAAATACAAATTTGCATTTTCAGTAATTATTTCAACAAACTGACACTTCATTTTCATAGAAATTTCACCCATGCCTTTATTTTGGTTGCCCCCCAAAATAAGAATATGGTGTCTGAGGGTAACAATGGAAAAGAGTGGATTGTCAAGACTGAGATAAAGTGACTTTAGAAATCTTGAGAGAGATGTAAAATTCCAGATACATACATTCACATGGATGTAGGACTTGAAATTGTACTCTCATGATTTTGTCAAAATATAAAGAGCAAGTGCAGAGGTTCTATAGTATCCAGAATCAAAAGCCCTGCAGGTGCTTAAGTAGTCCCAGTTTCATAAAGAGACAAGGAGATTATTTCTAACAAAAATGTAAGGTGATTGGAAATTAACCTTTGATAATGCTGGAGAAGACAAAGAATAATTCAAAACTTGAAGAAATATTAACATCTGCCCCGCAAAAGAAAAAAATGTTGCATAAAGCTGAAAAACATCTTGAGACCTTTTGTCACCTTAGCTTGCCTAACAGAAAGATGAAATAGATAAAGTATGAAAAACAGTAAGAAAAATGAGAATTAGAGAGCTTCCAGAAGTACTGCTTGAAAAAAAGGTAATTTGCACACAATTTAACTGATCAGTGGAGAGAAACTGCACATTTCATGTCATACCATTCTACATTAGGGATGGATGGCATATGAGAATCATCTAAGGGATTATTTCTGGTCAGAATTATTCTGAGCACGTGGAATACAACGACCCATGGGGGTTTGGCATAAGCAATGATCATAGAAAAACTGCAAGCAATGAAAGAATGCCAGTTAGCAGAGCTCTAAAGCCCAACATGGCAAGGATTATTCTAATGCAGAATAGGATGATTATGGTGCATGTGAAAAAACATAAACATCACAGCTGACATGTAGCTGTTTAATCAGACATGTCTCTCTTTTATGCCAAAATCCAAGTTTTTGCAGGCCACTATTGTGAATGCTTTTTTGACCCAAGTCTAAGCAGTCTATTTTTTTAGTAATTAATTTGTAAAATATATTTGAACAATTAAAACTGAGTGTAGAGTTGAATGGTTTACCACAGTCCACACAAAGATGCATTCAATTAAAAGTTTTCATATTTTAAGAGCTGAAAAATGCTGGAATTATTTTCTGATCAGAGAAGGGTTTCACTTTTATCCATAAGATGGTTTCAGTGGCCTTCAAATGTAATGGAAAAAAAAGCTCTTGGTAAAAGCAGACGCTGTTTTCACTGTGGTTTTCTGAAGCAATTGCTTCCAGTTGGTGAATGTGTTTATTGAAAGGCTCAGAGAAATCCCTCATTATGTCTGCACAACTGTAACCTAAAGTCCAACTCCTAAAGTAAAATGAAAACTCCAGAATCACCTATATAAGTTTACAAAAATATTATTTCTTGGAAAACCAAGAAGACTCCACAGCAAATCACATTTTCTTTGGCTCAAATTAATTGGCTGATTTTGCTGGGCTACTTAATAACAATACTTGCACTGCTCTGTTTTCACAGTAAGCAGAAAAACTTGGAGACCTCCCTCCATTTTGAAAATTGAATCAGAATATTCTTGACAATGTAATCTCACTTTGAGCCTTGCTGAAAATTCTCTACCATGTAGTAACAGCTGCTGAGAAAGGAAGAATTGCATGCAACAAATTATTGGGTTAAGGAGTATATGAAGGGGGAAAAAAGGAAAAAAATTCCCCCTATGGTTCTCAAATATCTTCTTCTATTTGCTTACTTTACCTGCCTCCCCTGTAGGTCCATAATAGCTCAGAGACAGCTGGATTCCATTTTCCAAGGTGGCTGAAAAAGATCCAAACTTGCTCACAGCTTTCTTTTTATTTTTCAATTCTTCTAAAAAAAAGAAAAGGAATTAATTTTAAGGACAGCAACACATATCAGAACCACCTGACCTGTAAACCAATGGCTGGTGTGAGAAGTGGGGCTGGTGTGAGAACCTTAGTGAGGATGACTAGCCTAAATAGACAAAATGGAGCAGAGAAAACCAGCATTCCATTCTTAGGGTACAATATAATAGTCAGTTTTGTGCAATACACCTGTGGTTTTTAGCCAGAAATAGCATTCTAATTAGTTAGGTGTGTAAAAACAGGTTTAACAGCAACAACTAATGTAAAGTCTTATGGAATTTAAGCAGTTCTGGAGTTATGGATCCTTGTTTCTTGGCTGATAAGAATGTTAAACTGCCCATTTCTATTGCATGTGGCCTATGCACTAATAAAAATCACTGTCCCTCGCATGCTGTCACAAGGACAGGAGCTGAACTTCAATTATCCCCGAGGTTCCCTTCCCTCCCCTCAGGATATTCTATGATTCTATGTATGTACTTTGAGGAGAAAGTAAAAGAAAGGACAAAAAAGTTGCAAAATTAGATCCAAAGACAGGTCTGGGATTTGTAAAAGTGGATCAGGAGTCAAACTCACATAGAGGGGCAGATCAAGGTGTCAGGTGATGAATACGTCATGGTGAAAACCACATGAACTAGGCAAGATACACCTCCCAGACACTGGATCCTACCTTGCCTCTACTTCAGCTGCTGCTGCCTTAAAGAAATGTTCTATTGGTAAGAGAAAAACTTGGGATTTCCCATATGGGCAACATATGGGAAATATGATATAAGGGTGAGGAGTAGCAGAGAAGACTACAAAAGCAGGTTAAGGCAGGCCAAGCTATCTCCCAAACTCATCAACATGGGACACATCCTGAGACCTTGCCTGTTCCTATTTCTTGTCTGTCATTGCAATGCTTATTGCTGAACACCACCTGCAGGAAGATGTTTTGGAATTTTGACTGCTTTACACATTTACCATTGTACCATCCAGCCACTGTCAAGTATCAGAGTGTGTTGATTCTTGTCTTCCCTACTGCCTTTAAAAAGTGCTCCTGTTTACATGGGAGAAAAGCCTTGCACTTGTGTCCAGTAAATACAACTTGCCTCAGACACTCACACTCTGGCAGACCCTACAATGATACAGGTCAGCTGTCAGAAGTGCAGACAAAAAAAATCTAGTCTGTAGAAGGGATGTAAATTTTGTATTAAGGCAACCTACAATTACATTGCTGGTAAGCAAAGGGGAGAAGTAAGAGCAGGATGCTTTCTAACACTTGTGAGAAACAACTGCTCACTTTGAAAATTTTAAAAGGTTTAATAAACCTTAGCAAAAATACAACAAACGGACTACATAGGGAAAAAATCTGCAGCACTGGGAACTGCCCCTCATGCATACCACATGGCTGGTTCATCTTCAAGATGGATGTTCAGTCTTTTATACCCCTGGGGGGTGCATCAGCCAGCCCTGGCCCCTCCCAATTCTCAGTCAGCTCTTCTTTGCCATTTATCAGTGGAGACTGCTTTCTTGTGACTTGATTGGAGGTCAGGTGTTGCCATGCTGCACCCCCTAAGCACCAAGCTTTTCCATTCCCAGCTGCCCCAGGTAAGGGGCACCTGTGCACGCCTTCTTTTTACCTGTTCTAGACAACCCCAGCTGTCTGATGGTCACAATACAGGGGGGAAAGGGGACTATGGGGAGAACAGAGGGCAACTAAACCACAATAACATAACTATACACCACTAAACCTTTTTTTTTTAATTTACACAATAGTCATCCCTTAATTGCGAGAGCCAATCATATCATTATCCATTTATAACACACTGATGAAGAAGAAAAGAGCTAAAATGTATAAGTTTTCCTTTTCCAATACTCTTCAGTTTGGTGACAGGAATTCCACAATGGTTTTGGCAAACACATACACAAATTATTAGAAACTGTCTTGCTTCTTGGAAACACACTTGCCTGGGTTCAGAAAGGATTTGGATTCAATGTTTTCTGAGTATGAACAATATATCAACCAACAGATGAAGTTGCTGGATTGCAGAAAGATCTGTTTTCAAAGCAAAGGTCTTGAGGCCATAATGCTATGGTCATCTGACCCACAAAAGGAGGTTCACATCAAAAGGGGAAATCTTCCCTTTCATTGTGACTTTCGTCACAAAGTCACAATGGTTTTAAGATCCAAATGAGTCCTCCACTAAAGAAGAAAACTATTTTCTTAAGGAATGGTGATTTCCTTGATTTAGAAGAGAGACTGGTTTGCACATGTTGACCTTCACTGTGCTTCTACATCTTGCTAAGACCTCTTTATGCAGTGCTTAAGTCAGTCAGCTGGATTTTTGCTTTATTTTATGGAACACTGACTTTTCTTACTCTCTGCCAATGGTAACAATATATTTTCTGTTAGTTGGTAAGTTTTGCATCCAATTATTAAATACATCAAACTATTAATTCTTTATATCAGTGACATCAATCCACTGACCTGATGTAATTTGCTGTTCTTCATTAATTTCTTGCTCTTCAGCTTCCTTGAAGTTTTCCTTGGGGTCTGTCACATGAATGAAGAAATTGTGCTTGTCTTTCATTACTTTCACCTTTATCAAAGTTTCTGTAAAGCAATAGAATACTATTATTGCTTCCATCAGGCTTCAGAACTTACTTGCACCCAAATAAATGGTGCACCTGCTACTTTGAGTAAAGAACTCAAAAAAAAGAAAATTGCTCATAAATGGACTGAATCATGTAGTAGAAAACCAAGGTGACAAAATTAAGGTTATCTGAGTTTAGACTAAATATATTATAAACTTTCCAATAATTAAATCTGAGAGTCTGCAGAAGACTCTGTGGAATAGAGATATTGCATTTGACTGGAAAAATAATTTGAACATCCTGGAAATATGATGCATTAGTTGCCATTGAAAAAATAAATATGAACTGATTTTTCTGCATTTCTAGTTTTCTGGTACTTCATTTATCTATCAACTGTTAACATGTTACAGGTAACTGTAAAGATTAATGATGATAGAGCCTAATATGGAATTTCTTTAACTGAAGTTTTACTGCTGAGACATGAAAAGCCATTTCTGGATTAAGAAATTATTCCATTAGTTAGTACTGAGTCAAAGCAAAACATAGGAAAATAAGAATCACTTTTTACAAACTCTATCTTCTCTACTTGAATCTGTCCTCCATCGGATGGGAAAAGATACCGATTGGTTCCTGATACTTGAATGATATCGTCCCCTGTATTGTAGCCCTGAAACTGGAAAAAACAAGTTTTAAATTATCTGTAAATGAGAAAGGCAGTACACATGAAAGAGGTAAATGAAGGACAGACCATCAGGATCACACTGTACTGCTCAACATCTTTTGCTTACCTATTGAACCAATATAAAAAAACCTTGAGCAAATATCTAGCATGCCATAGTCATATCTAAATAATTTCCCCGTTACTAACTGAGGTAACTTCTTACATGTGAAAACCATCATGGAAACTGAAGAGTAGCAAGGAGACTGGTGAGTTAACATACACTGTGAGAGAAAGAGAAGTTCTGATCAAGTACAATGCCATGGGATCACATAAAGGTCAGGTAAAGATCCAGCTTTCTGCCCTCTAGGTTTTGGAATTCAGATACTGTAAATCTAACTAGATTGCTATGCCTTCCACAGTGCTACAAGATGGAAAAAATTATGTGACCGTATTCAAATAAGTCCAGACTGAAATGCCATCTATTTCTGAGTTTAAAGTCTGTACTTAAGCAAATTTAGACTGAATTACATTGATGCGTGCAAGTTTTGGATGCATGATAGACTCTACAAATATAAGGTGGTGCAAACTGCTGAAAAACTGAACAAAACTAGTGAAGAGCTCCCTCTGTTAGTGCAACAGGCAGAAAAAGGAGAGCTGCTGTGTCCATTGAACTGTCTAAACATGAGTTCCTGAGATTGCTAGGGACATGAAGTACAATTACAGTTTAGATTTCATGTGCCTTAATCTCCAAGAGTGAGCTGAGATCCACATTTCCTGTTGCACACATGCCAATGGAGTTACTTTATGAAATATGGGAAAACTATGTATTTTAGATTAGGGCACTTCAAGAACATGAATTCTGAAAGAGGATATGTAAGAAATGGTGATTTCCAGTGTAGGCAGTCAAAACTTCAACTAGGTATAGTAGCTCCTTACTATGGAAGATGGGACAACTTCTTATGTTCCCCTTTCCTATCCTCTCCCAGAAAAATCTCACATGATCAACTTACGTTTGCGTTCATGTCATATTACACTAAAAAAAATTAAATAATCTGGTGTAAGATAATCTTGAACATTAAGAACTGCTTTTTAAAACTTTTAGAAAAGGATCTGCTGCTAAACAACAGAGGTAACAAGACCCAGTTAGGCTTAATTTGCCCTGAACTCAAATTTCACAATAGATAATAGCTCTGCTGTAATCTTGAATCTGTATATAGTTAACAATTTTCTAATGTGGTATAATAGTACAACTCCTTACCTTATAAACTTTCTCAGAACATGTTTCTGGAATGCTATGATCCTCCTCAAGTTCAGCGGCTTTTGCTGACTCATTTTGATACTTGTCTTCCAAAGGTCTTCTGTTTGATCCTTTATTTCCTTTTTTATTTCCTTCTTTACTTCCTCTTAAATCCTGGCTTTTTCTTTGCAATTTTTCTTCCTTTTCTTGTTCTTCTTCCTTTTCTTTTTCTTCTTCCTCTCGTAATCGGTCCTGCTCGATCTTCCAAGCCTACATTCAACATTAAGAATTAGTCTGTGTTTATCTTTGTACTACAAGATATTTCATATGTGCACGCTGAAAGGAGTAGAAGCAAACAAAACCAAAGGAATCAAAGTTCTAAGCCAAAACACATTTCCAAATGTGTCAAAAGTCTCACAATATCACACACCAAATTTTGGATAAAATTAGTGATTCACTCAATCTGCAACAGCAGCCATTGTTGACCACAGGAAATGAATCAGGTGATTATTCATATCTTACATGATCAGTCACAGGAGAATGATTTTGTTGAATACTTTTCCACAATGTTTACCACCAAACCACAATGCATCATTGGTATTGGTTTATTCCCCAAATGCAACTGTGAGATAAAATGATTTTATTTTTTTACATAAAGAGGAATGACTTGTCAATGCCAAAATTATCAGCTTACATTAGAAAGACATTTGAGATTTTCTGGAGCATTTAGGGTTTTGTAGCCCTTTACAGTCTAAACATATTGAAGGAGAAGTGTTTCTGGGGAAGAAATGGCAAGCATGGAGAGTTACAAGTCAGGCATTAGCCTCAATTGAGCTGTGACAGTTAACCTCATTTCCTCTCTATATTCCATATCAGGACTTGAATTGCACAGCATTATACACTGTGAGGAAGATGAGACATAATATGTCTGTGAGGAGTCAAAAAAAAGAAAAAGAATACAATATCAATAAAACTAGATTTGTGCAGATTAATGGATAGTACCCATGCTATGACCAAAACAACTGTATGCTTAATCCCTGCCTCAGCCAGAAATTTATTGTGTAAAGCTGGACAAGTCAATTAATCTGCAGTGAATTTTCATAGATCCATCTGTAAAATGGGGTTCTCTGACATAAGGGAACTCTGAGGTACAATATTGACATTCCCTAATTTCAAAGAGCTGTAGACAGTGAAAGTACAGTTGGGTACACAAGTATTTCCATTAATCTGGATCTTATCTTTTCATACCTTTAAAATTAGAAGACTTCAGTAATTAGTAGGATATTATTCACAACATTCACTTCCTAGTATTGCAATTATAAATTACTTTGGAATGCCTAGTCTAACTCCAAATAGTCTTCTCTTAAGAAAACAACATAACATGACTCATAATCATTAAGGAATAAATTAAAGAAAATAACATATTAAAAAAATAACAAAGAGCAGAAAGACTAGGAGGATTCAGTCAAGCCCATGTACGGAACAAAGGCTCACCTTTCTAAGAAAGTAGTGCTATCTAGTCCATTTCAGAAACATAAATATTTTTGCCTCACCTTTAGAGAATCTTCTCTGATAATGGGACTTTCTTCTTTCTTGGATTGAGACTCTATTACATTCTCAAGTTCAGTCGTGCTGCCTTTTAAAAGTGAAAGGGAGAGTAAGTGGGTTTTAAATTCAGGAAAATAAAATAATTTTTAAAAATGGGGAAAAATGTGCAAGAAAATAAGAACGTATATTTAAAAATAGGAAAAGCATAATAGTACAATAAAGCAAACCTTAAATATATTTAGAAATAAAATAGAAAGTCTGTTTAGGTTAGAAGAAACTTGAATCTCATAACTGGGGACCAAATCTCATAACTGGGGACCAAATAATATATCAACAATTTGTGTAAAGACTGGCTTCTGCTTCTTGCTATTGAAGACTTTGCTCTGGCAGCATTTGTTTGTTTTTAAGTGAGCCAGAACAAGCTCAATACCAGAGTCACAGACGTTACAACCTTTCAGGACAAAAAATCCCAAATAAATGCTATTTGGATATTCAAACCTTCACTAAAGGAACACTCACCATAACCTTCATTTACTATTACAGCTTTACAGCATCTATGACTTAATGAAAAGGGTATCTTACCTAAGTGTATTTTATACTATGCTTGGATACCCCATATTTACCTTCTGGAAAAGGTAATTTAAACTCAATTAAATTAACACTATCAGAAACTTCTAGTTAAATTACTTTACATGATAAAGTAGAAATTGCAGTGTCAGTGAAATTGAAAACACCCAAGAACACTGTTGCCCATCTGCGTGTTCCAGCTAGAGGTGATTATCTCCTTTCAGCAAGTACTCTATGAATCAAAACTGTCATAAAGCACCACATGGGCAAGATTCAGTCTAGCTCTTGTGACAGCTAGAGATGTACAAATTATGATTTAGTAGTCATAACTGTACTTCTAGTTTCCAAACTATAATCAGAGGTGTTAACTGAGTTGAGGAGTAATGTTTCTATTTTTGTAAATGCTAAATGCTAGTCCTGGGAGGCTTCAAAGTGCATTCTCAAGAAAGGTAAAAAAGCAAAGGTTAAGCATAAACAAATCACTGTTAATACCATTTAAATATACAAGTAGAAAATTTTGACAGAAGTTCTTTTTTGTCAATAGGGGTTTTCAGATTCTGCTGCCTGCTGAACAGTTATTGTATGAACAGCTTACAATTTTCACTACCCAAAATGTTGCTTGTAATTCAAGTTTGCTCTGCAGTCTTGTCAATTCAAGTTTCCAGTTTTAGCTTCTAGCCCACAGCTTCTGACTTACAGCTTTTATCCTGCCCTTTAAAAAGGAATTTTCCTGAACCATGTTGCCAGCTTTAACTACTGCTCACCTCTTCATATGTTCAGTCATCTGAACAGATACAAATTTGTATGTAATTATTAATCTCATTAGATAAGCACAGCTATTGAAAATGTAAATTGATACTAAAGCTGTCAGTTTTCCAAACAGAGAAAGATGCAGAATATATAAATATATACATTTAATTAATTCCAAAACATATTTATGCCTATATTTATGCCTATGTCAAAACAGTATCATTCTATGAAAAAACATATGCAATTCTGCTCTGAAAAAATCTGTGTCTCAGCACTTAGAGTGAAAAATTAATTTCCTAGAATACAATAAAAAGATACCTGCTTTTGGCTTTCTAAGTAAAGCCAGTTTTTTTGACAGCACTGACAGACAGTCCTAGAGGGCCTTCTGCCATGGCTTTTTCCAGTTTAAAAGACTCTATTTCCTTACCCATCTTCTCTTTTTGGTATTTAGCTTCTTCCTCTTTCACCCAGTCTTCAATTGAGTTGGCCACCAGCTCAAGATAGTTTCTGAAAAGCAGAATATTCCTCTATACAATACAATACAATACAAATACAATACAATACAATACAATACAGTACAATACAGTACAATACAATACAATACAATGCAGTATTCACTAATGTGATTTCAAGTCAAACAAGATCACTTGGCTTCTCAGTTTCTTATACAAGTATTATTCTATAATCTTTGAGACAAAACTTTTATTTGAAAGGATTTCTCTCAGTTTTTACAGGAAGTAGTACTTTTGCTTGTTTAGTATTTTCTTAGTATATGTTACACTAGGAATTCTGGTTATCCTTTCTGCAAAGAAATGTAAGAAACTTCTCTGCCAAAGAACACCTGCTAAAGAAAAATCCAGGAAATTAGAAAACTTAAAGACATTCAGTTCCAAAAGGTACAGACTCATTGTCAACCTTACTGTTTTGCCACTGAATAACTTATTTTCTTAGCTGCTTTTGATTTATGTTGATTCTTAAAATATGCTTTACTTGTTTATTCAGAAATGGAAGTACTATTGTATATAATGCAAGCTCTTCTTTATCGGTGTGACAAGAAAGGTGTTTGAAAATTGCCATCCAAATCCAGATGAGAAAATCAGTGTACCATAACCTGCCATGAATTAAGAATATTCACAAGTCACAATTAAGTTGAAGTGAGAACTGAAAAACAAACTGATCCAGAATTTGCTGCTGGCATCTGCAGTTGCATTGTCTCATCTTCCAAAGGTGTCTGACATGACTGCTCAAGTAGCTCACTAAACAACTGCTCTCAAAAAAGGAGGAAGCCTGGGAATCTTATATGCAACTGCCACTCAACCCCTCATTCGGAGTTTTATCACAATTCTTCAAAGTAAAATTCTTCATGTGTGCAAAATTGAAAGGAGCTTTTGAAGAATGCATCAGATTCAGTTGCTGAGTATATATAATATGATATGTGACTTCATGATATTTTGTGTTTACAGTTCAAGATGATTCAATTGTATTCAAAAACTCTGTGTGTAGCGGAGGGATTTGGGTATGAACATACAGATAATACAATCACTTCTTGACCTCATATCAGTTTTAAAATCCTTATTGGAGCAGTCTGTCCAAGAGAATTAATAAGTCATGTACACAGGCTGGGACACACAGTTCAGGTAAAGCTTCAAGATATACAAGACTCTCCCAGCTTCTGCAACGTAGGTTGAGTTTGCTTTGGGAAATTTGCACGGAGAAATTGTTGATCATATATACACTCAGTAGGGAGAAGGTTATTCTGTTTGTATCTGAAGAAAAGTACACAAGCTAAATAAACCTATGATGTTGAAAACAAAAGGCAGAACTAGTCTGGAACACAGAGTTGCCAGTACTGGAATAACTTGAAGATGAATATATGTTATAAATAAAAAAGAGACTATTCGTGTGGAAAATATTTTAGGCCAATGAAACAGTCATTCAAAGTCTAAAATACACATTCTATTAATATGTATTCTGATGTCACTACTGCCAATGTCTGACTCAGAAGCATTTCTCAGAAAGGATTATTCTTTTCCAGTAACTTGTGTAATGTGTTTACTATGAAACTATAAACAAATGTCATTAAGATTAACTTTGAGCAAAATAATGGTTTTGATAATGCCTGAATTGATTTGGCTTCCTGATAGAGTGGCCACTTATTCTAATCAGAATTAAAATGTTTTATATATACACTTATCATTGGAGGCATATGTGTCCATGCCTTTGGATTTCCTTACTCAGTGGCATCCATTAGATTTCCCATGCAGACTCCTGCTGCCTACCCTTTAAACAGCATAATTTCTGAATTTTTGAATGTTCTACATGAACTACAGGATCTGATATCCATAAAGAAGAAGGAAGGTAACTGGGATCTCCAGGAGCAAAAGCTGCTGCAACATCAGAAATTATATTTCCTCTTTGCATGAGAATTTGCTGTAGCAGGACTCAAATAAAAAGAAATTATTCCATGATTCTGTAACCAACTGATTAGCAGATAACAGATTTATATTCCAGACAGCAATAATGAGCTGTCACTCTACAAAGATGGTCTGTAGTCTATAAACTGTCCCAATAAAGAAGTAACAAGTGAACACAGATGGAGAACTCTTATCAGAGAAATTTTCAAGCTCTGCATCTATTGTGCATTTGTAACACTTCTGTGATGAAAGTGTGACTCAAAGCTATATCAAAATTAGAATGATAGCAATTTTAGTAAAATAAAAAACAATAAATTGTTACTAAACTCATCAGGAGTCACTTATTTCTTACAAAGGTAAAAACAAGTAATACTACTCCTAATTAATAAGTAGAGTTTGTGCCCATTTCTGGCAACTCAGTAGGATCTGGAAGCTAACTGCAGGCAATAGCTTGAAGCACTCCAGATATTTAATGAGTGTCTTCCACAGAAGTGTTATGTTGCTTGGAAACATACACTAGCAAATATTTATGATACTTTGGAAATCTGAAATTATCTTTAAACGTAAGGCTGAATAAAGTCTAAAAATGTGCTGATTATTTTGCAGAGTATAAGCAGGTATCAGTGGCACATAACAGAAGCAAAAGAGGACCTATAGCTCTTCAAAAATTCTAAGTAGCATATATAGCAGTGATGTTGAATATCTCTAGGAAAGAAGAGCAAAGCCAAACCATCTTGTCAGTGTTCATGCCATTTTCTTTAGGAACTCCTTGCTGCTTTGAAACAGAAGCTGGTGAAAAGTCACTGGACAAAGTAGGCATGCCCTAAGCAGAAGTTATCTTTAATGTCTAAGCCTTGGTTCAAGGGGATGTGGAAGAGTAAGAAGTAGAAAGCACACAGATATATAATGCAGATAAAATGCATAATTTCTCATTTAGATGCAAAATTAGCAGCTTTTCTTTTGCAGGTATCAAGAGCCTTTCCCGTCTCTCAGCTGCTCTTGATCTATTTCAATGAATGCCCTTTCAAGATGACCAGCCAATCTGAGGTTTTACGACCCCAGAGATGAAGAGTGGCTGTTTCAGGGACAAATGCTTCCTGAGGAAGTCTGGTACCTCCCTCTGCTCCTACAGCACCCATATGCTGTTGGCAGGAGGCGTTTCTCAGTGTACACAAACACCAGGTCACACATTAGATGTTCTGGGGTGTCTGACCTGCTCTCTGGCGTTTGTTCCAAAAGTGTATGGGTCTCCTATGGGTCTCATGGCATATGTGTCAACTCTGCCCAGAAAACCCAAATGCACCAGGCAGCTGTTTTGTGGCACCAACTGTTTATGTTTAGGAAACTTGAATTAGGTAGCTAAAGTCCAGTGTCACAAAGAAGTGTAAGAACTGCTGGCAGAGTAAAGAGCTCTGGGCGCCAACAAACTGCTGTGTAACAGCCCTTGAATCCACTGACCCTGTGCTTGGGTCTGTCTGAATGCAAGACCCAGCTTTACTACATCTTTCACTTATCTTTTGGGGAAGATTTTAGCTGCTATATAAATGCAAAACCACTGACACCAGATTTTGTGGATCTGCCCAACAAAACAGCCAGCATTTTTTCCAAGGAACTTTGAATTTCTGTTGGTAAATATCTTATGGCTCAGGTCCTATTCCCTGCTAATCACAACGGCCTGTTTTCATGGCAAATAATATAAGTCCAAATGCCTGGAAAGCTGAGATGGACCTACAGAGAGCTCTTTGACTGATAGCAAAGATACAAAATACAATACAAAATATAGCTTCAGGAAGGCACATTTTCCTTATTTAGTGTTCAAACATATACAGGTGTCAACAAAAGCTTATTATTAAAATTCCCATAATATGATAAATGAGGCACTACACACAGAAAAGGATACCTGCAAACAAGCAGGGGGAAAGTATTTTTATACTGGATAATTTGTTTGAAATTTTATTTGATAAATCTAATTAATTCATAGAGCACCAGAGTGACATTGTTAAAGATACCTCAGCTGTATCCCCATGATATTTTGATATTTTTACACATCAGTACATGGACAGTTGTTCTATTTTCAGTAGTTGTATCTACATCATAATTTATATCACTGCTTTGGTGCAAAAATGTGTTCCAAAATAAACAGGTCGACTAGCAAAAGAGCTAAAGTGGACATATCAACCACTTGCACACCTCTAACTGGTGAGCAGGTACTGATAAGGAATTAAGAAGAATGTGTTATTCTGTGGGAAAAAAATTCTAATATTAACAAAGGGATTTGAACTTTTCTCAAAAAAAATTTCCACAAAATCACTCAATTTTTGTATATATAATAGAAAAACCTGATAAGTATATACTTAGACAGAATTTTTTTTAATGTTCTTCACCTGGAATGTCCTACAATTTTCTTGATGCGGCATTTCTAATGATTTTATATGTATGTGTACGTTATTTACATTTTGATACTTGATGATAAGGAGCTACACTCTGCATTATTCTTACTCAGAAAAGTTCAACAGAATTCTGTTGATACAGCACTGTTTTTGACTCACATGACTTTCTTTGTCATAAATGTGTCACATAGTCATTTCTAAGCTTTGCCCTAAGGCTTAATTAAAATGGCTTTAATTTAAAATTACTGTGAAAGGGACAGTGAAAATTAAAATGGCTTTAATTAAAAATTACTGAGAAAGGGAAGACAAAATCCATTACCTGAATCCCACATTAGAGTGCAGAGCAATATTCCAAGTCTCTTGGCTCTGACGATGTTGATTCATGGGATTGTGAAAAACCATTAGTAAAGAGTTATCTTGGCTATGATAAAAGGAATCAACACATCTGTATTCTTGGGATGCTGTATGAAGAACCTGAAAAGGAAAGGAATAAAGGTACATCTTTCCTGCAGATGGTAGCATATGTTCACAGGCTACATAGCACAGCTTTGAGCAACAGGTGCTCCAGAAAACTCTCTTGCAAGATGTACCCAAAGCATTTGGATTCCAGCAACCTGAATTGTTCGGGTAGGTGGAAATTGAAACTCCATTGCTATTCATGTTGAGAAGCGATACCAATTATACTTCACCTTCTGACCGACCATGAGTGAAAAAGTTCAGCTACAAAAAACCCAAATAGATTAAAATATTAAACAAATACTTTAATAAGTTTAAATAATAAAATACTTAAGTAAATAGCAAATAAAACCAGAATTATCATGTACCAGATAAAAAGAAAACTAATTTACTTTTTTTTGTCTCAGTTGATTTTACTTGGTATTCAATTTGCTTTATCATGGCCTGCACATCTCTGAGATTTGCTGTGATCTACATTTTTCCTCTCTGCTCTGTACTGCCCCATAATTTTCAATATTTATATTGCCTGCAGGTTGAAACTTATTTTATAGTCATAGGTAGAAGAAAGCCTTCTTATAAATTATTATTTTTCAGAACTATGCAACTGAAGGTTCTAGAAGGATCTGTTCTATGATCTTTCCCGGAACAGACTTGAGGCTGACTAAGTTGGTAGATCCCAGGGTCCTCCTTTCTACTGTGCAAAATGTTTCTCTTTATCTAGTCATCTGGGACTTTATCTGACTGCCATGACTTTTCTTTCAAAAGGTTATTTTCAGTTTCAATAAAATGCTATTTTTTATTTACTTTCAGTATATTTTTACTAGACTCACTAATTATTGGTAGTTGAAGTAATATTAGCTGCATTTATTTATTAGCAATATTTATGCTGCATAAGAAGGGATGCCCCATGCATTGAAATGCATGACTAGACTTTAAAATTGTCACACTAAAGTGGTGCTGCAAAAGTCCAGGCAGCATTTCCTATACCCTTGTATAGCATGTGTCAGGTTCAAATAAGAATTACAACCTCTGAAGCTCAAGGCAGCACAGGAACTAAAAATCCACTCTTACCAAGAGGATGCCTCCCAGTTCAGGCCAAATACACCTGAGCATATCTTTCAGATTTGTCCTTCTGTCTTTATGCAAGTTTTTAGTGCTTAACTTGCAAGATTTCTATAAATGATGTTTTTAGCCCTTAAAGGGTGAAGTACTGTAACAACCAAATTTTCTATTTGCCCATGAAACATACACTGCATAGGCATTTGCAAAGGATGTTTTCACATCCACTGCACTGAGTCCCAAAACTGCTACAGAGGATGACCCCTAAGGGCAAGGTCATTTTATCTCCACCACACTTTCAGCTAACAGACTTGCTGCCAAATAGGACAGCTCCACTTTGGCCAAACCAGGAAATAAAAACCTGTTACAAACTAAATTTCACACAAAGAACTGAAAAATAGCTAAAGCCCAATGATTTTTGGTAAAAATGAAAAACAAAACTGAATCAATTATTGAGCAGAAAAATACCCTGAACTCCACTACTATTACTTTATACAGGGTTCTGAGGGAGAACTGCATAGATGAAATTGTCAGTTCAAAGATACCTGATGAAGAACATGTGGTTGAAAATGCTCTTCCAAACTCCAGTCTGTCAAGCAACGCCTCTGTGTCTTTTTTATTTCTTCTAATTTTGGTCCTAGGCCATAATTTTCGAGACTCACCTCAAAATACAAGAAATCAAAATAATGAATATCAACATTTCAGTGTCAGTATTAAATTGACTGTAATCTTGTTGGATTAATAGACAGCATCCCATGCTGCACCACAGTTAACTGCACAATGATGAATATGTGCAGACCCATATGGTACTGTTTAATAAAAAATACAATTACATCCAAGAAGGTCTGGTTTTGGACATTTTATGACAAAATAATCAAAATACTTTAATTATTAGCTTATATGTTTTTGAGTTCTGTAAGCAATCATGAGTATTCAAACATGTCCTATGATGTAATTTTAAAATTGCTATGTTTATTATGGGATGTATGGCAGACAGGTGATTCTGAAGATGCCAAACTACAGTGTCTTCTAGTGTGACACAGTTTGACAATTTCTTTTAAACTTTCACGCTTGTATTTGTCCCCTGGTATTCAGCAAAGCCAGAACAGAATCATCATTAACAGCTTCATCAAAACCTGTCACCTTGGATTTCAAAGAAAGTGATTTCACAGTTCCGAAAATTATGACAGTATTTTCCCAACATCACAGAATTGACATTTGCATGCAGCATTGCAAAGGAATCCCCAGTAACATGGCCTGGCATTGAGCACTATCTTCTGTTGCCTCATATAAAGCCTAGCTGACTCCATTCCTCACACTTGCCATATCAGAATAAAGATGATCCAAATCTACGTTCAAAAGAGGATAAACCGGATCGTCTTCTTCATCTTCGTCACTTGTTTCTGTATACCCTGCAAATTGAAAGGAGAACTTAAAGAATTGTTCCAGAAATTTCAGCCCTACTAAGGTTGGAGTAGTGCAATTTCTTTAGTCTCCCTGATGAGATTGACATCAAGTTGAAGCTTCCTTTATTCACACTTGTTCTATAATTACATTTTCAGCTCTGCAATGCTTCTTTACTAAGAGAGCACTTTAAAACCCAGTGGCAACAAGTGCCAGATAATTAAATAAAATTAAAAGAAAAAAAGAAGAATTTATAAAACCCACTCAAGTAATCCTTTCTATGTGACCCATGCTGGCCCACTAAAAAGAAGTACCCTCCAGAAGAGGTAGCCTCCAGATTCATAAACAAAGAAACATTTTTCTTCATACTTTAAAAAGCATTCTTTTGCACAAATGACATTAAACTAAAAGGCAAGACCAATTGTTCTGGTATTTTCACACATTTTTTGACAAATGCAAATTTAAAAGTTTGAATTAATTTGGCTTACAGATCCATAAGCTACTGACAGAATATTAGCTCTCCTGAGGATCTGACATTGTCATTCCATTGTTGCAATGAGCATCTGATATGAGCAGCATCAAATGAGAATTTCAATTCTATATTCTCTTAATTAAAAAAAATCCTTTTAATAGAATTCTTTATTCCCTAAGTTAGGGCATAGGTCACTAATATTTGATCAAAATTCACATGCACAGGAAAATTACTTTTTCTGGTAGAAAATGCACCACAAAGTATTTGTTTGTAAGTGTCTTATAACCAGCTCAGGTCCTAGACATACATCTTTAGGCTCTGCTTCTCTTGGAGATTACTCCTATTTACTGACTGCCTTTAGAAGACTGAAGAAACCTGAAAGCAAATGTTTTATCTTCCTGGTGTCTGCTTTTGTGCTGCAGAAGTGCTGAAATGTTGTTATGCTTGTAACTGCAAAATTTAATATCATGACTAAGTACAAAAGCAAAATAGACCAACACCCAAAAATGTTCCCTGGATGCAGAAGAAAAGCAGCTAAGCAGGACTCATTTTTGTCTGCTCCAGCCTTCTAAGGAAAGGATCCCATCTAAGCTGCTTGCTTAGACATCTCTATTAGGAAAGCATGGACTATATCACAAAGTACTGCATCCAGCTCTGGGGTCCTCAGCACGGGGAACACATGGACCTGTTGCGGTTGGTCCAGAGTAGACACAGTGAAGGTGAGTGCAAAGATGGAGAACCTTTCCTGTGAAGATAGGCTCAGGGAGTTCAGCCTGGAGAAGAGAAGGCTCTGGGGAGCTCTTATTACTGTGGCCTTGGAAGAGACTTTCTAGTAGGAGCTGTAGTCGTAGAATAAGGATTAAGGATTTTAAAGGAAAGGATGATAGATTCAGACTAGGTATAAGGAAGAATTTTTATTATAAGGGTGGCGAAACACTGGAACAGGTATCCCAGAAAGGTGATGGATGCTCCATCCCTGCAAGCACTGGAGGTCAGATTGGACTACAAGAAACCTGATCTAGTTGAATATGTCTCTGCTTATTGCAGGGATATCAGAACAGATGACCTTTAGAGGTCCGTGCCAACCTAAACCATGATTCTATGATTCTGTGATCATGAACCAAAAGGTATAATTGCTTAAAATGATCTAATTTCTACTGTTCTTGTGTCCTGAAAAAATAATCACTTGATTTTAATGTTGCATTTTGGCCAACACATCTCCTTTAACCAGGCCAACAACTTTTCATTATGCTAGAATCTGCAGGAGAAAATGCAGAACTAGAGAAAATTCATTTTACATCATCTACAGTTGTTAATACTGTAGTCAAAATAACTCTTGTTGTTATTCTAGTATTCCTACAGAGTTACTCAATGTACAGGCTATACAAATATTTGAAAATTTGGTGACTTGTGCAAAGAAGAAAAATCACATCCCTGCAATAGCAAATGATATGGTAAGACAAATAGTAGATTCAAATTCTTCAGGAGTAACGTAAACAGAAAGCTTTTTACCAGAGCTTCTTGGAGATTTCCCACTAAATTTCTTTTCCATAAGGAAGAATTGTCTCAGCTGTCTTGCAAACACGGCTGGATTATCCCAAGGGATATAAGACTCTTCAGAATCACCTCCAAGCCTAGATCCAGAGCTCTCCAGGAAACCAGAGTCACTTAGCTCAGTCAGCTTCAGGCTTTCAAAAGTAAACACTCTGAAGGCTCTTTCTACCTCAGCCCAATTCAGAAGTTCTAAAAAAGAATTACAATCATTAACTGAAAACGTCCTTACAGCTCAGCAGAAAATAAATACAAGACTATTTAAGTGTATTGTTGTTGGCAACTCTGCAAAAGCCAGCAGCAATTTCCTTAATGGTACTGGATCAACTTATGTGGGCTACATTTTACACTGCATTCAAAGTTGAATGCTTCCAAATTGCAAAATGATATGCCTACCTATTAATTCATCTTAAATGAAGTGGTTCCTACATCTGAATACCTTCTGGCTCATTAACTTTATATAAATGATGTTGATTTTAAAATACTGAGTAGACTTTATCAGGCCAGTTAGCAACTAGTTCTTTTCAGTTCATGAAATGTTTCCATTATCTGTAGCCACTCAAAAAAGTATCTTTTTTTTTCTCTTCAGAAAGAATTTTACACATAATTTAAACAGAAGTATGCAAGGTGAAAAAGCAATAATAATCCTGTTTATGCTTGTGTGCATCCATGTCCATATAACAATGACAATCATGCAAAAGACTGAAGTTTAAGAAGGTAGTACAATGCCCAAATCACACAAAGAATATCTTCAGTTTGAAATGTTTTCTTTCTAGGGTGGTTAAGCACCTAAGCACATAATATATCTTGAGAATGTTGGATCTCTCATCTTCTGTTCAAATTAATTATCTCCTTTGATAAAAGCAAAGGCTTTGCTAGTTAGGAGAGTCTGGCAGTACAGTATGTCTCAGTGAGGATTATCAAATTCAGCTACCCATCAGTTGGAAGACTGTAGCAATAGTGAATACTTTAATAGCTTACGGTCCAAAATGTACATACCAGCAACTAGAAACAGTACAGCAAAGTGTAAATTAATCCAACACAGGGAATTCAGGATGAAAGAGTTGGGAAAGTACCTTCAAATCCTGTGCCTTATATGATGACATGAATGCAACCAAAGGGATTTGGATGTTTATATTTCTTAATAACCTAGAGCAGACTTTTGATACTACCTAAGGGTATTTATATAGTCTTTGGGATTGTTTCCCAGCATATGTCATGGTGGCAAGCACACTCCAAGAAAAGGTAACTGCAGAAGTGATTATGGTTGGGGAAGTGAATGTATTTTTGGTTTGATAGAGGGACTGTTACAAAGTAGCTTCATTATTAATACCAACAGCTTACACATGAATAACACAATACACAATATATTTCAGAATACATTCTGAAAGCTGTGTATTGTTCCATAAAAACTGTCTACCTAAGACACATGTGCTTTACCTCCAAAAGTGAGTTGATAAATCAACACAGTTTACACCAGTGTCTCTCAAAATGCATTCTACATTCTAGGACCAAAATTGCAATTTTTACAGCTGTTTTTTTCCCTCAGAATTAGTAAGCGTTTGTATGTTTGCAAATATAAATAAATAAAGTACTTCCAAGGTAAGTTCCAGCTCTTAGTTATGCAATATTTAACACTCATAGAGTTGTTCCCATTAACCATAAAACTGAGGTCTGAAGTTAGGGTTAACTTTTAGAGTAGGCTATAATTATATATAAGCAAGTATGTGAAAATGGGAAATTCTGCAAAGGTATATTTGGCAGCTTTAAATTCTTGCCCCAGAATTCCTGCTATTTGAGAAAATCATCAACCAGAAATAAAAAGAATGGAAATTATATCAGTGAAAATCATTTTACCAGTAGTAAAATAATACATGAGCTCATGAACTCTGGCCAAGCGTTTAGTGTTGTTTTCAGTTGAAGGAGGGGTGAAATGGATAAGTTCTGTAAGAGGCAATTTATCCATCATTTCATGCTCAATCTTTTCTGGATCGACATTCTCTTGGACCTGGAATAAAAATCAAAGTACCAGAGTTAAAGTAAACTTTCACACATTGACTTTCCAAAACTTGTGTTTGAATAAAGAAGTCTTTTTCAGCAGAAGACATTAGCATGTGCTTAAGCCAGTTGGACATAAACTTATATTTGAACATGTGCCCACAGTGTGGTTTTGAATCATGGTGTCAGATACTATAGGCAGAAAAATATTAGACACATAAGAGAATGACTGACAGCATAATAACAGACATTTGTTAGAAGTTATTTGTCTGTGCTAGCTAGACTTAAAAATACAGAAATATATACTGATCTATTCAGACAGGCAGCAGGTACCTTCCATGTATCTTTCAGCTGGTCTGTGCTACTTAGAGTAATGAAATCAATAAACTTATTGATCAGTCTGTGATGAGAGGCATCCCTCTATATCCAAGGATTTTTTTTCAGATGTAGTAGTATATTTCAGTTTTACTCTTTTTAGTATTACACACTTATGGTACTTTTTTCTTCAACTGCATATTCCAAATGTTTGTCCTCTACTCTTTCCTCAAACATTGTGCTATATCCTGAATTTCCTCTTCAGCAAGTATATAAAATACATCAAGCAAATGTCTCCTAAGAGCATCTCTTATGTTGATTGCTCAGCCCTTCCTTCTGCTTGAATACATCCAATGTGTCAAAAACTTGAATTGTTTCTGAATAGTTTTAATCAATGGTTGTCAAAGTACTCCCCAGATAATTTCTAATCCAGGAAACCAGGTAGACACACCTTAGCTGTGAAATCTAGAATTGTATTATCACTTTTATTATCCTCAGTGAAATTTTAAAGTTTAATGGTAAAACTACACCTTGCCTTTGGAAAAATTCAAGACATTCACAGTGGTTTTTTGATTCAGAAAGTTTGGGAACAGTTACTTTGCAATAATCTCAAACTATGCAGTCTCTGAACCTTTTTGCCTTTGTTAGAATTTGGCAGTATCTTGGTTACATGCTATGCTGCAACCTTTTAGCCAACCTGAACACATTTGTTGTGTTCATTAGTAACTGCTATGTATTTTCTTCTACTTCTCAGCATTTTAGTATTCAGTCTAATCTTCATGCTAAATCACCATTAGCAAATTAGCAACTCATGCTCCATTGTATCATCAGTGTTTAACAGCAAATCAACAGTTCTGTAACACCTCTCATCTATGCCAAAGGCTAAACGTTCTCATTAATAATGCAAATAGATCACTTAAATCAGTATGTTTGTGCTCCATGTTTGTGAGGTGCCCTCCATCAGAAACTCCTTGCTTCTTAAGTAAACTAAACATGTGTTGGTGTGTCCACCTCAGTGGAAAAAAGATCTAGGATATGCAGTCTTGTTGTGCAAAACCAGCCCTCCTCCCCTTCTAGTGCATTGAGCATTCACGGCCTGCGAACTTTGGAAATATTTATATATAAACAGTACATATATATAAACAGAAATATTTATATATATACTGTACCTTCAGGAGGTGCAACCGCTGAGCCAGGGCATCGTGGTAGTTAAATAAGAGAGGGTACTCGGGGGTGACCCTCTCTTGTACATGGGGTTTAGGAGAAAAGTAGTCATACAGATTCTGTTTAAAAAGAAAAGGAAGAGGTATTAAGTCCCAATAATGAGATCTGTCATTTTAGTAAATGAATGAAAGACAACACAAACCTTTTTTTCACTCATAGGAAGGTAAAGAGAAGGAAGGACAGAGATTATATGATCTGCAATGGCACGATGCAGCTCATCTTCCTGAGGCTCTAGTGACACAAGACTTGGTGGTGGAAGGTCTTCCTCACTTGCAATAACCTGGCAAATACAGTATATGTTAGCTTTCATCACAGTATGACTGCTGCTTAACTTTACCAGAAATACCAAGCAAATCCTGCTATAAGCTAAGCACACAACCAGAAATTCTGTGAGGGAAGAAAAGTCTAATTTTTTTCTACAGGTAGCAAAAATACAATTTTCCAAGTTAGTTGCTGCACAAGGCAAGGACTGTGGAAAACAGAATTAAATGTTTTCTCTATTAGATGCTTTTGAAAGGATAAGAAGAAAAATATTTCCAATTTGAAATGTTAAGGATTGTGAAGGAATACAGGTAATTTAAAACTGTTTGTCTTTTAGGTGCTGGACTTTATTCTTACCCAGTCTGTTTTCAGGCTAAGTTATGAAAAGAAAAAACCCCAAAATTATGCTGAAACGTTACTCCTAAAAGGATTTCCAAATCATATTGTGTGTCTCTTCTAAATCAGATTGTGCCTGAATTCAACAGAAGTCAGATCTCTCTAGCACTAGCATTGATGCTCTTATGTTAGGCTTGACCTAAGACCTTTGAACTGAGTAAGCCAACAAAAGTTGAGTGTCAATAACACTGCTGAAGGGCACAAAAACTTGTTATTGACTCGGATAAGAAATTGCACCTTTCTCCTAATTTGATTATATTTGTAGTCTTCAAAAATTAATTATGGAGTAACACTATATATATATATATATATATATATATATATATATATATATATACAGGGTAAGTGGACAACATGAAAGAAAATAAAAGTTTGGAGTTTTGACTCCTTTGTCTTGAACGTCCTTGCTCAGTGCCTCAATGCACTGTCTCATATTTTAGGTTTAAACAGATGAATTTATTGATCTTTGACAATTCATTATATTAGGTTAGGTCTAGGCCAAAATAGCCACAGAAACTAAAAAGAGAACATTCCCACCTGTTCCAACATGCAGCTCAGCATTAAGGGTACAGAAAAGTACTCCTCAGGAATTTGATACAGCAAGTCATTATAATATCTCATGTCCACAGAAGGAAACAGAACGGAAGTTTCTTCTGCTATATAAAGAGATAAAAAATTAAGATATGTTAGTTTTGAAATGCCAATTTATAGTCCAAGTGAGTTCTGCAAGTTTGCAGATAATGCAAAACTGGGAGGAACCGTTGACTCTCCCAGAGGCAGGGAGGCCCTGAAGAGAGACCTTAGGGGCAATTAGGGGACTGGGCAATTATCAACCTTCTGAAGCTTAAAAAACAGAAGTGTTGGGTTCTGTGCCTGGAATGAGGCAACCCTGGCTGTACAGACAGACTGGGGAATGAGATGTTGGAGAGCAGCACCACAGAAAGCAACCCAGGGGTCCTGTTTGATGGAAAACCTAGTGTGAGCCAGCCATGCACTGGCAGCCAGGAGGGCCAGCTGTGTCCTGGGGTGCATCAGGCACAGCATCGCCAGCCAGGCAAGGGAGGGAATTGTCCCGCTCTGCTCTGCACTGGGGCAGCCTCACCTTGAGTCAGGGGAGCTTTAGGTTGGGTATTAGAGAAATTTTCACCCAGAAGGTGAGTGGGCCCTGTAACCGGCTCCACAGGAAAGTGGTGAAAGCACCAAGCCTGACAGTTCAAGAAGCATTTGGAAAATGGTTTCAGGTACATGCTGTGATGTCTTATGTGGGGCTAAGTTGGACTCTGTGATCCTTGTAGGTCCCTTCCAACTCAGAATATTCTGTGATTCTGTGAACTTTCAGATGATATTTATTGAAGAGTCCAACAAAGTTAGAGATCAGACAAAATTACTAAAATGTTTGAAATCTGAATTTGACTAGGAACAATTAGAAAATAAGATTTTATAAAGAACTTGGTTATCACTACTCAGACACTTCCACAATGCAATCACTAGGATACACAACATCTTCAGCTAACTGCACAAATAATTTTGAGGATTTGTGCTGTCAGATGAATGAATGGTTTGACAGAGGGATCAACTACAGATGGGTGCTTTAACCCTTTAAACATACTCTCTGACAGAACTATTGTTGGCAGAATTTCTTCTTGTTTCCCTCTTTTCCTTGTAGGTGACATCTGTGGTGCTGGTTGCTCCTAAGTGAATGAAAGGTAAAAGAAAAAAATCAGAAACCATAAAACAAATGGGTATTGCACAGATAGGTGAGAGAACTTAGTTTCATTTAGCTTTGGTTACTCACCCTAGACTACATGCTAAACTTTTAATTGGAACAAGATAGTAAGAATGTAGCACATGGTCTAATAAGCTACTTTCTTCTGCCTATTTAACATTTTCCCTACTATAAATAAAATAAGGAAATCGATCTTGCATAGAACTAATAATCTTTTATTTTTTTTGACAGTTCATAGATCTGCAACATTGCACAGTAGCTCTGTGCAGGCATATTGATTTTTCAGACACAAGAATGTATCATCAGACACTATTTAAGAAATTTCTACACCTATGATACATTATGTCTCTAGGATCCTTCCAATTTTCCTTTTCTGTTTCCCCAATGCTCAGCTATTTTTTCCCATTTTTTGGGGTTTAAATGCTAAAACCAAAAATACAACTTTCATTCACTGAAAATTATTCACAGAGTGATGGTCCAAGGTGAATTTTTGAGTCAAAATTAAAGACAGACAATTCTACCCTATAATTAGTTATTCTCAACAAGAAGAGAAGGGTCCTTGCCTCAAGTGAAGATGGTTGTGTTGATTTGCTCTCTGGTAACACAGCCACGTTAATAAACTTGGTGTTTTCCAAGTAGTTGCAATGCTGTCTTCTCCAGTCCAGGCAGTCATACATCAAACAAGCAACGTGTTCAAACACCACAGTACCCAATTCAAGCTGTGAGAGAAAGGATGAAGAGTGTGTATAAAATGTCATGTAACTTGGTGACAGCAGTCATTAGCTCTTTAACCAGCAGATCTACATCTGTTTATAAATTTTCCAAAAGACTTTTTCCTCCACCAATTCAGTATGTTTTACAGAGTTATTCTAAAATCTTCATTTTATTTGCCTTCACACTGCCACAGCAGAGTATGGACTGTATATTGCCAAAGTGCTTTAGATGTAATAAAGTCTTACTTGTCTTAACAGTAACTATTCAAGGTCTGCTACCTTGCAGATGGAACTTAAGGGCGTTTTTTGGATGGGAAGGAATGGAAGAGAAAAATTAAAGTATTTTGTAATGTATGTACATTTTCACTAGCGATCAACCTGCAGCATATTTGCAAGTTCAATAATTTCCCTGCTCTAAAAGGATAAAAAATAAAACCCTAACGAGGTAATTAATATAATCTCATATTATTTTCTTTCTTTCTGTTGCTCTTTGAAAACGCCTCAAGAATGGCATTCTGAAATCCACAGTTGTGAGTGAAGGAATGTCAGCATAGTGCCCAAATGTCCAGAAGGAGGGCACTGTATCTGCAAAAATCTGACAAGGTAAGAGTCATGGTTCTTGAGGTCAAATACTGTGGTTTTCACCAAAGCTTGGGAGGAATAAAAAGAATAATAGCAACAGCTATTTTAAATATTAAAGGTTCTTGTACAAATACCAATACTCTGTAAGAGACCACATGAAACATTCAAGTTTCAGAAGCTTTAATGGATGTATTCCTCTCCTGTACAACCTGAACTTTGTGGAAAGGATGGTATTATTGTCACTTTTAGATGATTTCTGTAAAAAGCCCTTTTCTGAGTGATTTTTTCACTTTTGTGAATTTAGGGCAAGTCTCTTGTACCAACATTGAATGTCTCAATTTTAAATTTCCTAAAATAGAATACAGTGAAGAAACACAACTGACATTAGGCATTAAGAAAAATAACAACCCAAAATAACAAACAAAAACATCTGCTTTCCTCAACTCAGTGGCTCTTCCTGACACTGGGAAACTGGCAATTCCAAATCACTAAGTTATGGAATACTTGACTCCGTTTCCATAACATTTAAAGACTAGAAGAGACACTTGGGAAAGAAATTCTATTTGCGAAAACAGAATGTTCATTAATATTCTTGCACTTTTGTTTTCCCAGTTCAATATTCTTCTGAAGAATGGGTTAGTATAACACCTTTTCATCCATACATTTGTATATGTAAGGTATCACTAGAGCATGTCAAGGTTTTATATAAAATGTTGGAGTGTTTTCAATGCAGTCTTTTAAACAAAACAAGATTTTTTACAAAGTCATAAGTAACAAAACCCTGCTACTCAATGGGATCCAAGCAAAGTTTAGCATATTTACAATTTTGTAATTCAATTTGCCTGGTGTCTCCTCAGGACATAGATTTTTATCATAAGTTTTTAAGACTAACCATTAGTGACTCTTCAACAAAGTAAATATTTTTAAAAGTATTTTCTATTTTAAAGATCTCAAATCTGAGAGCAGAGACTACTTGCAGTATGCAACACTGTCATTTTCATATTAATGTCTAACATTTTGCCCCAAGAATTTTCCTCCTGTGTGTCTTGCACTTCAGAGATGCAGCAAGCTTGGACTCAGAGATTCTCCAGAAAGTCCACAAGAATGGACTTACTTTACCAACCTATGATTTCAGAACTTATATGCTCTGCACCTGTTTCTTAAAAAACTTACAAACTTTCTTACTTCTGTAGGGCTCATGAAATTATAACTCCTGTAGGGCTCATGAAATTGTAACTCCAATTTGTTTAAATCTGTTTCAGTGACAAATGGTTTTTCCTTTATTTGAACTATAATATAGGAGCTTGCAAGACATTAAAAAGTAGAAACCCTGTAAGATGTGATTATAGGGAAGATAGAAACTGTTTCCCCAAAAGGGGCTTGGCATGGTAAGATTACATAAAGAGTATAATGATAAATAATTTTATAAGTAGCAGGCCTACATTCCACAATTAAGGCATTTTCAATGAATGCTTTGGAAATCACTGTGAGTTGTTTGTATACAGGATCTACCATACTACAAGTAAGGGTGAGAAGAATGTAGTTTAACCCTAGAATGTCCTTTAATCCTAATAATACAGACTACAAATGCAGTAGGTTAAATTATAGCACGTTGCCTTATTTTGTTTTAGCAGTTTGTATTTTCATTGCTGACACTGTAGATTGAGAAATGCTGGACTCTTTTTCTTCACTATATGTGAGAATCTAGGATGGAAAACATTTCTAATGATTGACTTTCTCTTTCAGTGCCTGGTAATAATCCTGACTCTGCAGACTATAATAAACTAGAGCCATGTTTTGGACAAAAATAAGCAGTACTGAGTATGATAAAGCAACATTGTATATCAAAAGGTATTCTTGCATTCAGCGAATTTTTTCTCATGTGACTATTCTGAGGTGCAGTAAATAGGCCTGATGTTATGAGGACAAAAATATAACTTCTGTGTTATTTCATACACACATATGACTCTCGAACGAGATGCGAACATGCTCAATAACTTTAAAACCTCGAACTATTTTACAACCCTTCTGCTGTGGCCTACCATATAAAGAAAATTCAAATCAGGCATTTTTATTCTAAGAACTCCTTGTAAACAGATGCTGAATGAAGTTGTTGGATACATAGGAAATAATTTTTGTTTACGATTACAAATATACTAACTACCGTGGTTGTGTTTCAGAGAAGACTTGAGATTAAATTCCTAAAGTGTTATTAAAAATTACAAACTCTAAAGCATGGCATGCACTGTAAAAAACAGAATGTACTGACCAGCATTTCTCTGTCTGTCCAATCAGGGGGAAAGTCACTTTCCTTAACTAGGTAATGAAGCCTGGCAACATCAAAGAGACCTGATCCGTGCTTTCCACTGCTCAGAACGGGCTCCAGGAATTTCCAAAATGTTTCCAGGTCTTTCTTAGCTTCATCTTCCTTTCTTTTCTCTGCTTCTATATCTAAAATATATGAGTATTTGACAAATCATGGTACAGTGTCTCCCTTTAACATAAAGCACAAATCATGTATCAGTCTACTCTAAGTATTGTTAAAGTATTTCCATCCTTAGAGTCTCAGCAAATATCTGACACCCAACTTGGGGATTAAAAAATACCCCCCAAATATCTTGCCATCATCTTCTATTCCAAGTACAATGCTTGATCCTGAAAGGAACCTGAGGGTCTCATCGGGTAAAACTCCTCTGCTCAAGCAGGGTCACCAAGAACAGATTGCCCAAGTCCAGATGGCTTCTGAGTACCTTCAAGAATGAAGACTCCACAGACTCTGGGCAGTCTGTGACAGCGCTCAGTCACCCTCACAGCAAACAAGCATTTCTTTGTCTTCAGCTAACACCCTCTGTTCAGTTTTGCCATTGCCTCTTGCCCTGTCACTGAACACCACTGAAAAAGAGCCTGGCTTTCTTTTCTTTCCACATTCCTTTCAGGCATTTATACACATGGATGAGTTCTCTCCAGGCTCTTTCTTCTCCAGGGTTAACATTCCCAGATCTCTCAGCCTCTCCTCACATGAGAGATGCTCCAGCCCTTTGAACATACTTGTGGTCATTTGACGGACTCTCTCCGATAGCTCCTTATCTCTCCTTTACTAAGGAGTCCAGAACTGGACACAGAACTCTCAGTATGGCCTCACCAGTGCTGAACACAAAAGAAAGTTCAAATCCCTTGACCTGATGCAGCCTTGGATACCACTAACCTTGTTTGCTACAAAGGCACAGGGCTGGCTCATGTTCACACCATTGCCACCACCCCTGAGTCCTTCTGTGCAGAGCTACTTTCCAGCCAGTCAGCCCCCACCATGAACTGGTGCAGGATTTAGCCCTTGCCAAATTCTATGGGGTCCTGCCAGACCATTTCTCCATCCTGTTGAGGACCCTCTGAAAACCAGCACAATTCTGTATTGTTTCAGCCATTCCACCCTGTTTTGTGTGGTAAGAGTACTCACTGAGGGAGCTCTCCTGATCACTAACAAAGATGTTCAGCTGGACTCACACCATAAATCCCCTCGGATACCCTCTAGGCCAGGACATTCAGCCAGTTTTCAATCTAACTCAGTGTTTACTTACCCAGCTTCTTTATGAGAAGACAGGGCCAAAGGTCTTACTGAGTCAGGGCAGACAATATTCACTGCTTCCTCCTCCTCTACCAAGACAGTCATTTTGTCATAGTAGGGTTATCAGGTTGGTTAAGAATGACTTCCATTGGCAAATCCATGCTAAATGACCAACTCCTTGTCCTTCATGTGCCTGGAAATGTTTCCAGGATTAGCTGTTCTATCATCTTCCCAGAGACACAGAAGAGTCTGAGTGGCCTTTACATTCCTGAGTTATTCCTGCCATTTCTGAAGATAGGAGTGATGCTTTCCTCCAGTTTTCAGGCATGTTTTCCAATTGCCATGTTTTTTCAAAAGTAATTAACAGTGGCCTTGCAGTGACATCACAGCCAGCCCCTCAGTATGCCTGAGTGAATCCCATCAGGTCCCATGGACTTATGTGTGTCCAGTTTGTTTAAGTAATCTTTAACTCAATCCTTTTCCACCAAGAGACTTTCTCCAGACTTTCACCCTGTCTCTGGGGCCTGAAAATTCCAAATGCCATTCATGATCACAACCACTTTTTCTTCTTTCAAGGTCCTTTAGCCAGTCCTTATAGGGAGGCTGTTTTCTGGATTGAATAGAGTTTACTGGTATTTTTTTTTGTAGTGTAGAGTCCATAATTCTATTCTCATGACAGTCAAGCAGCAGGGAATAACTGTCTCCCTTGATCTGCTGGCTATGTCACTACAGCTCAGGATAGCCAGCCATCACTGATGACACATATTTAGCTCACTGCTTACCAGCATCCCAGTTCAAGAAAGGTGTTAACAGCCTTGGGACAGCTGAGTATAATTACAGAACATTATTCTGAGGCATATTCTCCTGTGGCTGGGGCCACAGTCCCAAAGCAGCCAACTGTTCACTTTCATTGAAATTACCAAATGAGCCAAGTCTTCTTACCAGTACACTTCCTAACAATTCACAGAAGTATGCATTTGATAAAACATTCTTTGGTGGCTACTGTGGCTACAAACTCTGCCTGCTTAGTCAGTTCCTCTTTCTACTGTCCAGTTTTTGCACTGGCAAACCATTTGGTTTGGTGGCCAACCAATGGCAATACTACTTTTGCACTGGGAAACACAGCTCACACAAACACAAGGCATAGAGAGGGAGAAAAACACAGCCGGAACAGTAATTTCCTGTATATAAACTTATCTCCTTTTTACATATTTTTTTTTAATGACCAGATTACCTTCAAGTGAAAGTGAAGATTGTTTTTGAAGTTTAGTTGCTTCTAAGTATATCTGCAATGGCTTGTAATTTTCAGAAGAAATTTGAATTACACTTGAAATGTTAATCCCAAGCTCAGTCAAGACAGGTAACAACTGAAGATTGGGGAAACCCAGAATGATAACATAATAATCAGCACCATCATCTGGTTCATCATCTGTTCAAAACACAACAAAAACAAATTGAAATAAGAACATTCATCATCTAAACAAAATAGATGTTTTACTTGACTATATGGGGTTATGCAAATGAAGGTTACAGAAATAGTTCTTTTATACTCTTATTGGGAAAATTACATATAAATTCAAAAAATATGAGCATAAGACTCAGTTCTTCTGCACCAAACCACCTAGAACACAGCAGGAAGAATACAAGTCAGAAGTAATAATTGTTTGGAGAAAGACCAGGAGAAAAACTGCAAAAGCTGATTATAATCAGAATGTTGTAGCAGCATTTCTGTAATTGCTCCTCCCAAAAGAGTTTAGTGTCAGGACATATGCACATGCCTTAATGGTAGTTTAAACTATCCTATTTCATCCTGCATAAAGCTGGACATAGAGCTGGACAAAAAGTAAGTTACTGTAGCTTACATGAAAGATTACCCAAGTCATAATAATTTCAAAGGATTAGCTGCAGGTATCAGCTGACTCACTGCTGACTCCTCCCTACCCAGCAGGTTCATGTTCACTAGATGTAATTCTTGGCAAAATCCTCATCAACTGGTAATACCAATTCACACTAGTCCTTTTAGGTGGCAGGGGCATATCCAAATTCATATTAAAATGCAGATGAGGAGTTTCATCGAGTGCCTGTTCTATTTGGGCTTATCAGTTACGTAGAAATATGCATAGCAGCATTTCAGTACCAAAGCAAAAGGTTAAGCATGATATAAATAGACATGAACTTTCTAGAAGCTCTAGAGTTGCGTAGTTTCCTTTTATGCCTTATGGAGAAATCCAGGTAGTAAGACCGGTATCAAGTGACTTAATTCATCCAGTACAGTTATTTTTCTTAAGTTAACAGAAACTGTCTGCTGGAGGTCCTGTATCTCTCCATCAATGCTGAAACACATAGAGTTAGTGCAGACAAACCTGCACTAAAAGCAAATCACAGCTTTATACTCTATTTAGCATTAAGATCCTTTCTTATGCTTACTAACACATCAGATGTAAAAGTGCTTTACTGACTTCTCTACTTGTGGGACTCATTTATCCAAGGAAGGAAAAAAGGTAGCCTGGCACTGACATCTGCCTGTGCTCGGCCAGATGCCCAGGGCTATGCAAATGCTGCTACCACCTGGAGTAGCAGGCTCTCTGTTGCCTGTAATATTAGCTAAACATAAAATAACACGGAAATTTAGAGAGAGACTGACTGAGGAAGCAGCCACCATGGTCCAACAAATATATTGCATAAGGTAAAAATCAAAACCAGAAGAAAACTAGCTTATTATTTCACTCCTAGTACTGAAAATGAAATACATAAATTTGTCTCAGCTACTGCAGGAAGAAAAAATATGAGCACATACAATTATTGAACATTAATTATTTTTAACAAAAAAGACAGGTGTCTGCACAGTCACCTACAGAGATCCAAAAATTCCAATGTGTACATGCTGAAGACTGCCTGCCATTTTAAAATTATAATTATGATTATGCTAATAATCATGACAAGCAAATAACAGTCAGTCAGTTCTAATTATCAGTGACTAGTCCGTATACAAAAGAGGAAAGACATTAATGCAAGTAATCTCAATATTACTCAAAAGCAGAAATATTTAATTTCAGAAAGATGATAATGTATTAGGTATGAATTATAAAATGACTGCTAGCTACCAGAAACAGATTGTCTTTGAATTTAAGGCATGTTTTTTTTCCCCCCCTTTCTTTATACAGCTATATTAGAACAGATATAAAGAGGGGAAGCCTAGATTGGAAGTAATGAAAATTTTTTCACTGACAGGGTTGACAACTCTGTCAGCTGTGTTTTAAACTATAGTACAAGGAGAAAGCCACCTTTGGATACTGATATTTAATTATTCTGAAATCTTTATCTAGGATAGGCTTTCTGTGGGATTTATTTGGCTAGTTTATTTATGCCCAAACATTTTGATGTTGACATGCCACATATAACTTATCTGTATCTTACTTCTTGGACTGCACAATCCATCCTAACAGTGAGCAGAACACAGTGCCCTCTTCAAATGCAAAGTGGAAAAATTTTGATATTGCCAAATAGATCTTGACTTTTCAACATGGAACAAAACTAAGTATTCCAAAGGTTTACCAGGAGTATATCACCATATTTTACATACCAATGTATTTATCTTTCACTTCCACTTCTCCCCGTTGTTTGAATTTGGTGTCCTTTTTAACAGGGGATGATGACTCTGACTTTTTTCCTTTACTATCTTTTCCACCTGTCTTATCAGGAGATTTCTTATCTTTTTCTTTTTCTTTTTCTTTTTCTCTCGCTTTCTCCTTTTCTTTTTTCAGCAGTTCTGCCTGACAAGATGAATAAATGAAGTCTCATTAAAGCCTTTGTGAAGAACAAAGGTCAGACTGTTGAAAAACTTTAGGTGTTCAATTTTTTTTTATTTTCACACTTTTCCCTCTCAGCTGCTATAATATTCATGTGGTGGAGCTGTCTTGAACACCCTGCTTTTTCCTACTCAAACACACATTCAATTATTTAGATGCTCTTACTCAGTCATAATGCTAAGACTTCACATAAAAAAGGAACTGCAAGAGGTAGGTAGACATTATATCTACCAAACTAACAAAATGCATATGGATAGAAAGATGAGTGAAAAACCCCTGTGCTTAGTTACTTCCACTACAGCACTTGCAGCAGCCAGAAACCTTCCTTGGACTGAAGGGAAATATGGCAAAAGTTCAGTATCTGTTAATATCTTTAACATCTCTGTTAACACTCTCGACTATGGTGTAAAATGGTACCAGCCCTATTTTTCTTTGATGTAAATATCTGTCTAATGTAAACTAGAATCAAGAGTTGTGTGTTCATTTCACACAGGATATTACTCAGCTATTCTCATTATCTTCAAATAAAAACACCTACATAAAGCTCTTCCTAGTAATTTAAGAGTACAGGACAAAAAAAGATATTTTAAGTGTCCCAAAGCCTCACTCTATAAATCCAAAAAAATTGAGTCGGTCTGAAATGAAAATGATAAAAAATATATTAAGGTAACGTAGGTTCTGTAAAGCAAGAAAGTGTCCACCTTATTTTTGCCCAGCAAAATTACTACATTCAAACTATGCAAAAATTACATTTCAGGATTATAAAGCTAAATTGAATTTAAAAAAATATTAACTTAACTTATAGTTACAATCCTCCTGATGCCACTTTAAAGGCTATTAAAGCAATTAGGAAAGCCCTTCATGCAAATGAGAGAGGTCAGCTAACTGTATATAGTTGCTTTCCCTAGATCCAGCTGAAAAGCAGACTTTCCAGCTGTGGAAGTTGTATTTTGTTCAAATTTAAAATCAAAACAGAAAATATTTTCCTGCTTTTCCCCTCCTTCTTGAATTTCCTTTCTGTAAAATTTAGAAATGTCTTTGACAGAATCTTGAAACTATTTCCACTGTGTAATGAAGGATTTGGAGACTTTCATTACTTTCTTTCAAATTTGTTCTACCTTTGACATTTCAAATTAGAAATTTTGATAGTACTTCTTTGAATTCTAAGCTGATGAACACATCAAACAGATGATACAATCATCATGCCACAAAGATCACAATCAACTTGATCTATTGCATCTGCATAATTTAAAGTAATTCTTAAATAAACAGAGACATTTATGGACTTGCCAAGATTCTAACAAAGAACATTACTTGACCTAAATACTTTAGAAAGTAAAAGCCTCTCCTTTCTTGGACTCTTTCCTTTTCCTTTTAATGTCATATTATTCCTTCCCTACAAGGTGCAGCTTTTGGTGGAGTTTTTAATAATCCATTAACTTCTGCAATTTTGTTATTTTAAGCGTCACATTTCAAAATTTTACTACCTCAAACAGTTTTCTAATTCAGAGACACTTCTTCTCTTCTACATAATATTTATGCCTGTCAATTTATGACAAGCTCCTGCTCCTAATGAAATACAGGATGCCTTATTTTTGGTTATTTACATATTGTATTAGTTCTGCCGATCCATTCTAGATATCTATTTAAGAAAAAGACCCATGGACAGATATGTTTGCTTTCTGAGAACTGATTTGTGAGTAAAATCCTGTTTTCAACACCCAGATTGCTGGCAACAGAACTTGTATTGTACAAGCTAGTTGGAAAGGATTAAAAATTCTATGGCAGCCAATTTAGAGATGGAACTCTAAATTAGAAGTCAGTTTCTGCCCACTTTGTACTGCAGAGCATCCTCATATCCAAGAGCCTTCCAATTCTTGACTCTCCTTCAATGGCTCCACTTGTGTTTGCCTGCCACACATTGATATAGATACAATTCAAAGGAGGTGACAACTTTTGCAGACAGTTTGGCTAAAACAGAGAAGTAACTGTAAGTGCCAGAGACTCTTCAACCCTCGACATTGACTATCCACCAATTAACCAGGGAAATAAAATTACAGTTACAAGACTAATTTTGCTAAATGAAAGCTCCAAAGACTCCATTTTAATATTGAATTGCCATTAAACTTCAAAGTTTTGTTTGACAGTTTACTTTCAAGAACTGACTGCTATCTAAGAAAAAAGCAATTTTTTTTCCAATTCACTATTAACAATCTATTCTACAGCTTCAGCTTTTCAATTTCTTTTCAGATTGAAAACACATTATTTTTCTCATATTCTTCATATATTTCTATGGTTTAAATTATCATTTCCTAATAAATTGAATTCTGTGGAAACAAGACACAATTTTAATGGAATCACCCAGCATTCAATGTTCTTGTGATTATGTGCTACACTTCATCCACCAACTTCTCCCACAAGTAAAACTATTGATAAAGAAATTTACAGATTTTTCAGCTATACAAAATCCATTAAACTATTTTCTGCTTGCATCTTTTACATGCACAGACTCCTTAGGTCTCCATATCATCACACTCCACACTATAGGTTTTGACCAATTAACAGGGTAAACTTACTGCAGTAATTGTATGACTTTCTGATAATTAACTGACTTTCTTCAGTTTCATGAATGTTTGTTGGAAAAGGACTATAGCAAAACCAACTGTTCAGTAAGTTGTTGAAATGTAACACTGACAACTCCAAAAGATGTTAGAAATAAATTAGAGGTCTGATCTGTGATTCAGTGCAAGCTTGGTGAAATTCCTCCTAGAACAAATAAGCAATCTGTCCCAGACAATCTTGGAGCTAGTAGTGATGACCTCGGAGACAAATGGAAGGAAGCTATGGGAACACTGGAAAATGTGGTACCTGGTTCTGAATTACTTCAAAATACGTACTGTTTTGAGAGAGTTCAGAGGAGAGGAACATGCATAATAAAAAACGAGCAACCATGGTACATATTTGGGTTTGTTAGTTAAATATGTAATAGATTTCTGTAGAATGGAGTGTAGTGATTTTCCATACAGGGAGAACTCAAACAGATTTAAATGAGAGTAGGGTTGGTAGGATCAGAAACCTTTTTCAAATGCTCACGTTGCAGAGATAGTTCAGAAATAATACTGGTTGCCATGGAAAAGCAAAGACACAGCACAGGGAAGTTTTCAGAAGAGGTTCAACAAACATCTGCCAGGAATAGTTTATGTAAATATTATCCTGCCTTAGTGCTGGAGGATGAAAAGATAAGTTCTCCAAATTCCCTCCAGAGAGGAGAATCATAACAAGAACTCTGTCATAGTCTGCTCTGTGTCTGTCCTTGATACCTTCCAAGTAACAATCTCTCCTGCCTTTACTTCAGCAGGGATACATTCAGCAAAAGCCTGTTCTGAGCTCTATTTTCTATTGGTCCTAACACTCAGCTAAGCCATTACTAGCTGTCACTCTAGCAAAGACTTCTTCCATAGTGTTTTTATTTTCTTTTTTCCCCCTGTGCTCTCATTGGCATTTGAGTAATTGAGAACTTCATGCACAAAATCTAATCAACTTTAAAAAAATATTTCTAATCACATTTCTCTTTAATTACAGTTTTAGAAAGACAAAGATGAGAAGAAAGCTGGATTTACAGAAGCAACACCAAAGAAGTGTCTTCAAAAATGTAATGTTCCTAGGGCATACTATAGTACCTTCTTTTCCTCTTCTCTTCTCTGAAGAGCCTTCTGTTTGAGACAAAGCAATTGAAATTTCAACAGCTTTCCAGTTAGTGTTGCAGGAAATTTTTCACCTTGGTCCAGAAAGGCTTTGGCTAATTCCATCACCTTGAAAGGAAAAAAAAAAATCACAACAAAACTACTACTTGCATAGCTTTAATACTGCACTTGACTCATATTTATTTGCATGCTGAAATGAGCAAGTGCTATCTCACACTGCACCACGTGTGGGTTGAAATGGCCACATTTACAGACAAAACAATGTATCGATGAGATACACCACTATTCTTTGGTTCCAAAGACCTCAAATAAAGTTATTTCAGCTATAGTATGCGATAAAACTAGAATGGAAAAAACCTATGATTTATGAGAAAATCAACAGACACAGAGTTCTCACAGGAAAATGTAATTCTCTTTAGGTTTTAAACAAAGAAACAACATTAAGAAACTGCATATTACAAAGCAATAAATTAAAAAGCACCTAACAAATAGCAAATCAAGGGGAATAGTGTGCAGTACTGTTTACAAAGTGACCAGTGTCTGAGGGACTAGCCCTAAATGAAAGATAAAAACTTCTTGAAGGGAATTTGAGAGGGTCTGTCTTGGTGAAAACACACCCCCTCCCTGTGTAATTCTGATTCTGTTGGTATGCAGCCTAATTGGGGTGAAATAAGGCTATTGAGTTTTCTTAGGGTGATGACAGCAGCAGGAACATACAGCTGCATTGTCCAGATGTGTGGCATTGACAGGCTGTTTTATGACTATGTTTTTTACAGCTTGTTTCCACTAAATTTCATACAACTCACTAACATCTGGGCTGTTTTCCTTGGAGCCTCATAACCACTTTATTTACTGCGAAAAAAATAAAATAACATAAAAATACCGTTAAAAAGTTGTTATATGTTTCTTTTCACTTGTGTTGTCTCTGTAATAAAGTTCACCTATGTAGGAAGCGCTGTTGAGGAATAATATAACCATAATATTTTCTTACTTTTGTTTTTAAGCAACCATCAGCTTTATTTATAACCATGGGCTGAATTAGGTGTTACTCAAATGCTCTGACATGTTTCTCTTTTCTCCTCATGGAGCAATTACAGTTGGGCACATATGGTGTCAATTTTGCTTGCTAATACTGAGACAATGAAGGTGCACACTGCATCTCACTGAACTGTGTCTTGTCTGTGCAAGAACCACCATTAGCTTTGAGCTTTCATAGATTCTTGCCTAGTTTATAAATTTTCATTTCTCACCTAAATGTAGTCACTAAAATGCTTCTCTGAATAAAGCAAAGTCAAATCAGAATCCAGACTATTATATGCCAAATCATTGTTTCATGCAAACAAAAGCAAGGAGCAGAGAAACAAATGTCTTAAAATTCAGATATTTTCCAAGTTGCATAACAAGGAGAAAAACCAAAACATATGCATTTCAAAACCCTTCCAAAACAATCCTGCTCTTGGAAGACAAATAAATCTAATGATCTTAACACACAAAAAACACAAAAAAGGAAGATACATCATGATTAAGATGAGTTTTGCTTTGTATGTTTTGTACTCAAAGTAAGACTGGTCACTAGCTCAATAAGCCAATCATAGAAGGCTTCTGGAAAGACCCACTGACATCAGAGCCACAGCAGAAAATCAAGGACGTGTTAAGAACAAGACTTAAAAATTACCACACGCTGTAGGCACACTAGGAGCTACTAGTCATTCCAACAAAAAATAGTCACCTAGAGCTAGGTACACAAATTGGTGCTCTGAAAGAAAAAGACATTGGTAGAAATATCATATCAGTAATTTCCCTCAGAGAGAAAAATTCTCATAAGCTTTTTTTTCAGAATTGATGTTAACAACCTATGGAAAGTGATACTTCTCACTGGTTTAATGTAGGTGAGTTGCACATTTCTTGAAACACAGTAGAGGGGAAATGGAGGGATTCTGGAAGCATTCCTGAAAAGTGTATATATAGTAACTCAGCTCAATGGCAGTTGCTGATTTATTGTTCATAGAAGAAGAAAAAAGTGCTTAGATTCTTAAACTCCACTCTTCCTGAGAATTTTAAAGCATTTTACCAGTCAAAAGCAATGCATAATAATTATTCCTATTTTGTAGATAGAAAATACAGGAAGGAAGAGACTTGCTGAAGTAGAGTGGGCAGGAAGGACAAATTGTCTTATGTGAGCCATGAGAAGCATAACCAAAACTATTTAACAGGAATACATTCCATGACTGTGGAAAGAGATCACACAAATAAAACAAAGACAGAATGAGTGCACTACATTTGGCAATACAAAGAAAGCAAATATCTTTTCATACAGAAATGTAAAATATGCTTTATACAGGAGGAAATTAAAACCAATGCTGAAGACAGAACATAGATCAATCCATGCACAGTAGATAAAAAGAAGGTAAATTTATTACACATCCATATTTACTTCATCTGTGGTCCTGTGAGTTATGCAGGCACCTGGCATAAACAGTTAAAAATCTACAGAGCCTCAAGTGAAAAAAATACCAAACAGAAACCTCAAGACAAAAACTGGGTAGGAATACAGCAGGAAGTTTTTCAGCTACTATGAAGTGGATTTGTTACTGATTGGCTATACTTCATCCCACCAGTGACGACCTTTTTCTTATGTGAGAAACCATGGAAACTTGTATGGACAAACTTAGTTAGGTAGGGCCTCTTTTCCTCTAAAGCAAGGGGAAACTTAGCATTCCTCACACAGCAGGGATCACACTGGTGAAGTGCAGAAAGGCTTTGGTGATGCAGTATTTGATCTCATATGGTGGCAGTATGAAGCACACAGAGATTTAGCTGTCTGGTGCAAAGGGCATGTATTTGGAGCCACCCAAACACTGCATGAGTGCTTGTAAGTGACCCTACACCACTGACAGATGTCAGCACCATTGAGATAGGAGATAGGTCTTAAAAGTTATGGGAACATTTAAAGCCAGAGTCTTTGTGCTATCTTTCTTTGAAATGCCTCTTTTCACAAGATACAGAACAATTGTGGCTGCCAAATTATAATCAGAAAACCTTCCAAAAAGATAAATTAGATTATAAACTTTCACAGCTTTCTTACTACCTGGTAGCAGTAACATTGCTTGCTATAAACAGTGGTCAGCCCACTTCACAGTGTAGTTCTCCCATACCCAGAGTGAGCTTTCTAAAGCCCTGTCTTCCCTCTTATTCTTGAAATTGTAAGAAGTCCAGACCATCACATATGCCTCAGACTCATCTAACACTTCCTCAAAGAAACAATAGTTCCTAGAAGAACCAAATAAGTAAAATCCCATAGTCGCTGACACAGTTCAAGTTAATTTGAAGCAGGATAGTCATCAGTCAAGAGGCTCTATGGATTACACAATCAAGCTGGTAATTATTCAGATGTATTTTCCTGAGCAAAATAATAAAAGTACAGGAAAAAAGTGATCTTGACTTATTAAAATTGGCTGTCAGTCTTATGAGTCCTTCACAAGCAGCTTTTAAGACAGACTAGGGGACAAAAGCTGCATATGTCATACTTACATTTTGTTTTTCTAAAGAAGACTTCTTTAAATATACTATTACATTCTTCTGACTCTGTAATTGTAATTTCATTGACTAAAGCATACTAAAGCAATCATTTTGAAAGAATACCAGGAAGGATCTGAGCTAACTGAAATAACTATTTTTTTCAGATGACACCTCCTGTGTGTTGAAAGAATTCAGTTTCTCATAATAGACCATTCACCTAACTTGATTTTAACTTTCAGACCTCTTCCCACCTATGATGTCAAAAGACCACTTGCTTAATCATTATTTTTCACTACTGAATTAATGATTCACAGTTCAAAGAGAGTTTAAGGACTCACATAAATCAATAAATCAATTGCATATCTGAGCAGAGCTCCATGTAACCCTTATGTATCCACAAGGTAGACTCTAAAACGTAAGACCAGCCAAATGAGTCATCTTTATTACTCAGTGAAGATGTATTCCAGAGAATGAAAATAATTAAAGAGGATTTTATGATTTCTTGTACCCCATGGAGTTCTTCCAACTCAACCTACTAAAATGAAGCAATACTGAGCAAATATGAGTGCTGTTCACGTGCTAAATATCTTCCTTTCTATTGTGAGAGCATTTCTCAAAGCAGAAGCAAATGGTTGCTTGTACTCTAGAAAAATAACCTGTCACTCATATGAGTGAGTCTGTTTTTTGCCAAAACACAACACAGCTTGATCTGGTTAGCAGAAACCTATTAGACTTATCCATTGTAAGAAACTCTGTTCTCTAAATCTCTCTCTACAGAAAATCTGCAACCTGAGGGGATATTTTAACTGAGTTAATCTCAGAGATGTTCTATGAGAATTTTCTAACACACATGTACAGTGTTATGTCAAGTACTTATATTGTGTTTAAAGAAAAACAGAAATGGTGAATAACCAAATTTCAGTAAAGAAGAGAAAATACTTTACAAAAAAATAAGTAGACTTTTATAAGAGAGCTCATACAGGAGCTCTCATCATCTGGCATGTACATTTCCCATGGCTCCCTGACCGTTAGCTGCTATGAAATCCCAACTGCTTTAAGGCATACAAATATCCAGTGATTGGAAAGATCAGGCATTAGCACTGCTATTTCAGGAAACCTGCACAGGGAAGGTTTTTTCTCACATGACCTTTCATAGATCTGTTTTCTTTTAACACTGATTGGGAGGCAATAGTTAAAACAGCATTTAAGTGATTTCAGAACAATGCCTACAGAACCCAGATCCTTTTAGAAAAAGAGGACAGGCCAGTCTGTTGTGATTTGTGCTCAGATGAAGGGATATACTGCTATGATCAAACACTGAAATATTTACATTTCAGTGGGATGAATCTGCCCAGTAAATCTTTCCATTATGGTACAGAATATTTTAAGCTTCTGAGAACTAAATTGTCTCCAGCAATTTCAGCCAACTGAATCCACACAATGAACACCACACAGCTAAAAGATTTAGTCACGCTTCTCTAACATTGCATCTGGCTAGGAAGACAACCCAATCAGAGGTGGAACAAAAAGATCAAGAAATAAAATTGCCTCATCAAACCTTGTGCTGGCAGAAGCCATCCAGCTACATC